GAGGCAATAAGATTTTCATGGCGAGTCATCAAAATTCGCCATGGCGCCACGGCCTCATACTATTGTGAAAACTCAAAAGCTCCGCAATTTAACATGGCACAAGGGTGTAGTTGACACTGTCCAAATTTGAAGCTTATAGGACCAAATCCCAAGGAGGAGTTCGTTAAAGTTCGAGGCATGGAAATGGCAAAATTAGAGCCAAAATGTCACCTTCTCTTCCAAATGGCGGACTTCCTGTTGGGTTTGCGTCAATGGGCCCACAGACTTTTTGTTCGTCTTGGCATGTTACACATGTGTGCCAAATTTTATACATGTAGCTCAAACGATGTGGTCGTAGGGCTGCATTTAACAAGGCATAGGTGGCGCTGTAGAGCCATTTCCCAGTGCTCATATGTAAAACCATTAAAATACAAAATTTTTCACCAGACCTGGCATGTGTGCAAAATTTCATGAGTTTTTGAGCATGTTTAGGCCCTCAAAAAGGCCCTTGTTTGGGGTGAATAATAATAATAATAATAATAATAATAATAATAATAATAATAATAATAATAATAAGAAACGGAGCAGATACAATAGGGCCTTCGCACTCTCGGTGCTCGGGCCCTAATTAAAGCTGCAAGCAGCGTTATGAGGGCCCTCGCACCCTGGCGTGTCGAGCCATGCCCAACACCTACAACCAGCACGTCCGATCTGATGTCACATTGATGGAATTCATGCATTTAACCACCAGTTAACATTTCATTTGGTTCAACCATGAGTATAGTCGTCCCACTAGGTGGCGCTCTAACCATTATAGACAAAGGGCATAACAAACATTTCCGAGCTCGAGTCTCATCACGCCTGCGACCTTTGGGAGAATTTGGACATTTAGATTTTGAGTGACAGCAGATTACTGCTTTTTGGCGAGTGATTGAAACTCCACGTGCCACCATGACAACCCCGTTTCCCTGAACGTAAAAAGCTTCGCAATTTAACATGACAAAGGTCTTTAGATTCCACACACTGGAGATTGGTTCAATATGATGAAATCCCTTGGAGGAGTACGTCAAAGAACGGTGCCTGAAAAGAGGGGAAAATGTTGCCAAAATTACACATTAATTTTAAAATGGCTGACTTCCTGTTGGATTTGGGATATTGCTCCAAGAGACTTTTTTGTACATCTTGATATCTCCTATAAGCTTACCAGGTTTAAGACTCATACATAAAACACAGAGCTGGGGCTGATGTTTTGAAATTTCGTAGGGGGCGCTGTGGAGCCATTTTGCGCTATTCAATGAAAATGATCACATAACAACAAAGCCTTAAGCACATTGGAGGTGTGCGCCAAATTTCAAGACTTTTTAAACTTTCCAAGCCCCTCAAAAGCCACTTCATTTTTCATGGTGAACAGCGTTGCCACCAGGGTGCGCCGTTCAGTATAAAGTCACAATTTTTGCACTAAAGCATCACGAGGGACTGACGGTGATATTCACCGCTTTTGAGGTGTCCACAATGAACCTGTGAAAATCAGTACAACAAAGTGTAAGACATGACATTTCCTGTTCCCACTAGGTGGCGCTCTTCATATTCCTGACAATGGGCACATCAATCTGTTCAGGGCGGGTCTGACATCATGCCTGTAAAGTCTGGTACTGATCAGACTGGATTTCATTGAGTTATACTAATTTGTTTCTTCATGGCGTGACATCAAAGTTCGCCATGCTGCTGGGGTCACACCCTTTCGCGAAAACTCACAGTTTTCACTGTAACCCAAGACCAACTCCTTAAGGCTTTCCTGGAGAAATTTGAGGCTGCAGATGTCACCCATCACTATACTGTACCCCAAAGTGTAAAACATGACATTTCCTGTTCCCACTAGGTGGCGCTGTCCTTGATGTCAAATATGGCAGTTGAAATATGTTCAGGGGTGGAGCCTTATCATATGTGTTCACTTTGGTCAAGGTCAGAAAATGTATGACAAAATGAGAGGCAATAAGATTTTCATGGCGAGTCATCGAAATTCGCCATGGCGCCACGGCCTCATGGTATTGTGAAAACTCAAAAGCTCCGCAATTTAACATGGCACAAGGGTGTAGTTGACACTGTCCAAATTTGAAGTTTATAGGACCAAATCCCAAGGAGGAGTTCGTTAAAGTTCGAGGCATGGAAATGGCAAAATTAGAGCCAAAATGTCACCTTCTCTTCCAAATGGCGGACTTCCTGTTGGGTTTGCGTCAATGGGCCAACAGACTTTTTTGTTCGTCTTGGAATGATACACATGTGTGCCAAATTTCATACATGTAGCTCAAACCATGTGGTCGTAGGGCTGCATTTAACAAGGCATAGGTGGCGCTCTAGAGCCATTTCCCAGTGCTCATAAGTAAAACCATTAAAATACAAAATTTTTCACCAAACCTGGCATGTGTGCAAAATTTCATGAGTTTTTGAGCATGTTTAGGCCCTCAAAAAGGCCCTTGTTTGGGGTGAATAATAATAATAATAATAATTAAAGCTGCAAGCAGCGTTATGAGGGCCCTCGCACCCCCGACGCGTCGAGCCACGCCCAACACCTACAACCAGCACGTCCGATCTGATGTCACATTGATGGAATTCATGCATTTAACCACCAGCTAACATTTCAACTCATTCATTCATGATTAGCTAGTCGTTCCACTAGGTGGCACTCTAACCATTATGTACAAATGGCATAACAAACATTTCCGAACTCGAGTCTCATTATGCCTGCGACCTTTGGGTGAGATTGGACATTGTGTTTTTGAGTAACAGCAGATTACTGCGTTTTGGCGAGTGATTGAGAGTCTACGTGCCGCCATAACCACCCCGTTTCCCTGAACGTAAAAAGCTTCGCAATTTAACAACACAAAGGTCTTTGGATTCCACACACTGAAGAATAGTGCAATATGATGAAATCCCTTGGAGGAGTTCGTCAAAGAACGATGCCTGAAAAGAGGGGAAAATGTTGCCAAAATTGCACATTAATTTTAAAATGGCTGACTTCCTGTTGGATTTGGGATATTGCTCCAAGAGACTTTTTTGTACATCTTGATATCTCCTATAAGCTTACCAGGTTTCAGACTCATACATAAAACACAGAGCAGGGGCTGTGATTTTGAAATTTTGTAGGGGGCGCTGTGGAGCCATTTTGGGATATTCAATGAAAATGATCACATAACAACAAAGCCTTAACCACATTGGAGGTGTGCGCCAAATTTCAAGCCTCTATAAACTTGCCAAGACCCTCAAAAGCCACTTCATCTTTCATGGTGAACAGCGTTGCCACCAGGGTGCGCCGTTCAGTTTAAAGTCACAATTTTTGCACTGAAGCATCACGAGGGACTGATGGTGATATTCACCGCTTTTGAGGTGGCCACGATGAACCTGTGAAAATCAGTACAACAAAATGAAAGCCATGACATTTCCTGTTCCCACTAGGTGGCGCTGTCCGTATTTCCGACAATGGGCACATCAATCTGTTCAGGGCACGTCTGACATCATGCCTGTAAAGTCTGGTACTGATCAGACTGGATTTCATTGAGTTATACTAATTTGTTTCTTCATGGCGTGACATCAAAGTTCGCCATGCTGCTGGGGTCACACCCTTTCGCGAAAACTCACAGTTTTCACTGTAACCCAAGACCAACTCTTTAAGGCTTTCCTGGAGAAATTTGAGGCTGCAGATGTCACCCATCACTATACTGTACCCCAAAGTGTAAAACATGACATTTCCTGTTCCCACTAGGTGGCGCTGTCCTTGATGTCAAATATGGCAGTTGAAATATGTTCAGGGGTGGAGCCTTATCATATGTGTGCTCTTTGGTCCAGATTGGAACATGTATGACAGAATGAGAGGCAATAAGATTTTCATGGCGAGTCATCGAAATTCGCCATGGCGCCACGGCCTCATAGTATTGTGAAAACTCAAAAGCTCCGCAATTTAACATGGCACAAGGGTGTAGTTGACACTGTCCAAATTTGAAGCTTATAGGAACAAATGCCAAGGAGGAGTTCGTTAAAGTTCGAGGCATGGAAATGGCAAAATTAGAGACAAAATGTCACCTTCTCTTCCAAATGGCGGACTTCCTGTTGGGTTTGCGTCAATGGGCCCACTGACTTTTTTGTTCGTCTTGGCATGATACACATGTGTGCCAAATTTCATACATGTAGCTCAAACTATGTGGTCGTAGGGCTGCATTTAACAAGGCATAGGTGGCGCCGTAGAGCCATTTCCCAGTGCTCATATGTAAAACCATTAAAATACAAAATTTTTCACCAGACCTGGCATGTGTGCAAAATTTCATGAGTTTTTGAGCATGTTTAGGCCCTCAAAAAGGCCCTTGTTTGGGGTGAATAATAATAATAATAATAATAATAAGAAACGGAGCAGATACAATAGGGCCTTCGCACTCTCGGTGCTCGGGCCCTAATAAGAAACGGAGCAGATACAATAGGGCCTTCGCACTCTCAGTGCTCGGGCCCTAATAATAATAATAAGAAACGGAGCAGATACAATAGGGCCTTCGCACTCTCGGTGCTCGGGCCCTAATAATAAGAAACGGAGCAGATACAATAGGGCCTTCGCACTCTCGGTGCTCGGGCCCTAAATATAAGACAGAAGGATGTTTCAAATACTGTTTCAAAGCAATGTATACACTATTAATATTGATAATATAAGCCCCTGCAGTTCAACAATTGGAAATAAACTGCATTTTATGAAAAACAAGCTTGCAGTATTAAGACTACATTCACTATTGCAGTCAGCAACGTGGAATGACTGCTGACACAGCTTCTCTCCAGCCCAAAAACTCCCCCTCAAAAAACAAAAACTGGCCCCACAAATTAAAAAAAATAAATAAACTCTTTTCTATCTGCCTCCTCTTTTGTGAGCTTTTTTTTTTTTTTTATATATATTTTTAAAACAAGTCACAGTGCTGTCCAAGACAATATGCACAGATAATGACCTGCAAAGCTTCAATATATTTAACCCTTCAAGTGTTTTTCACCCTGAACTTCCTGTGATTCCAAAGCCAGGCGAATTCAAGAGACTCTTCATCTGAAAGAAAACAGCGTATGAGACACAACAGAAAGCCAACAATCACTTGCACTTTAACTTGACAGCATGCTTTTTTACTTTTCATTCAGAACTTTAGCCTAGATTGCAATTTGGTATTTAAATTACTATCTAAATCTTTTTTTACAGGAAAAACAAAGCACAACAGTTAATGCAGATAAGATTCTGCATTAAATCGGGAAATCATGGAATTGCCAAGCTTCCCATATAATCCAGTTGGTTAACTTTTGTCACCCTAAGCATCATTACAGAACCACGCATGCAGCTTAAACTAGCTAAAAGATTTTACTGGCAAGTTTTAATCTAACCACTCAATTCACTCTCTTGGTCACTAATAAAAAGAGGAGAAAGCCAGAGCCAGAGATGCACTGTCAATTTCAAACAGGTCTCTATTTCTGGGTTGCCCCTAATGAGTGCAAAGCATGACGGGAAGACCTTTGTTATGTAATACCCTATGTTTCCTGGTAACAACTAAAAAGACCAAATGGAAAACAAGGAAAACTCAGAGCTCACGATTCACAAAGGTCGATAATCTTAAGTGAATGCACTGGACAATTTAAACTATATACTTTTTAGATTGAATGTGTTCTGAAATGTTGACATATAGTAAAAAATATATGGTGATGAATTTACAATTAATGCATAAATGATGCACAGCTGTTAACGAAGGTTAACTGGGCATACTGAATATGGTGTGGTGCTAAAGTAAGCATTATAATTAGCATATGTACAAATTATAGTCAGTATACAATAATGAACAATAATAATACTGAAGTTGTAACACGAGAAGAAATTTCTCCTATAAAATGTGTTGGTCGTGCTGTGTATGTTTATAAAACTTCTGTCCAAACATCATCATATTTGTTTTCCAGCCCAATTTGATGCCAGTACACCTCAGCTTCCATCCCTGACACCCATGCTGAGGTGTACGGTAATCCAGATTAAGAGAAGAGAGTGAGAAAGGGAACCTACCAGAGGAGGACGTCAGGTGGACCATGATCATGTCTGGCTCAAAGTGCAACAACTGAAAGACAAATTAAAATAAGAGTATTTTTATTACACATACAGTACTGTTCCGGATATATACATCCTTATTTATAATTGCAGATCTACTGGGACTATTTGAGAATTGAGATTAGAAACGATCTTCATAAACATCCCAAAGATCCTAAACAAATGACAGCCATGCAATATCCCTTTCTTAAATCCTTCTGTCTGTTCGTTCTAACTAACAGGACCTTCACATCTGGTCAGCGGAAACCTTAATGCGCAGCGCTCTATCCTAAGAATCGGACAGATTCTGCAGGGTCAGACAGCTCCATCCTTCAGAACAAACACATCCCCGACGACTTGAGAATAAAATACACACCGATCTTAAATGTGTAGAGGTGTTTGAGTCCCCACCCCCAGCATCGAGGTTTAAGCAAGATGTGCAACTGCGTCACAACCAGCTGGACAAAAGCCCAGCGAGCCTAAAATCTTGGTATAAAATGTACTTGTTTCATCTAAATTTCATATAAAATGCGTCACATCTTACCTTCGAAGGAGCTCCACTGATTACTTAGTGTATACAAATCAAAGGATGGAGAAACGCACGCACTGGGATCCTATAATCTTATTTTTCCTCGTTATGTATTTTTGTTCTGTTTTTCAGCAGATCAATTTGAAAATGAATTTAACGCCTGAGTTTAATGTTGCCACGGCCTCAATTTCACAGTCATCACACAACCGGTTACCTGTCAACTTCCCAGCCACTTTTTCAGCGGGTCCTTTTAAAGTCCAAGGATAAGTCCGTTGGAACATTCCACCGGAAGTGACGCCCCTGTTGTTTCTGGATTTTTCTGAAATAATGTTGCTCAACTCTGTTGACGGTTACCGCTGAAGTGGAAGTGACATTGAGGAAAAAACACATGTATTATTTATTTATTTATTTGCATGCTAATACGACGTGCGAACACAAGTTAATATGTAACAATATGGAAACCTCAGTGATTACAAGGCTATCAATATTTCAGTGACGCAAAGCTGTGGATCACTGAAGCAAATATGCAACACTGTTTATTATCTAAATATTTTTGTTTGTTTGATGACTTTAAGTGGCTGCTTTTCTGTTTGCAACACGTTTGCATATTAACCTCTTAAGCCCCAATTACTTAACATTTCTGAGGCATTAAGCTGTCACAATGAAAAATAAATTATGAAACACAATGAATGGAGAATTTCTATTTTTCTTTACATGGAATTAATTTTTGTTTAAAATCAATTAAACTAATGCACACATCCATTTATGTGCTTATGAAATCACCACAAGTCAAAAATCTTAACAGATAATACTAAGTGCAATAATCCTTTCTGTCATCGTTGTATTTTTACTCAGTTGTATATAGTATTTGTATTTGTATTCTATTTTTATCTTATTGTATATTTATTTTATTTTATTCTACTGTATATAGTATTTTATTTTATTCTATTCTGTACAGTTGTGTACTGTATTTATTCTTATTGTATTCTAATTTTTGCCTCATAACTTTTGCACTGTCCACTTCCTGCTGTGACAAAACAAATTTCCCACGTGTGGGACTAATAAAGGTTATCTTATCTTAACACTGAGTCATATTAGGATTTAGAAAGTGGTGTGCTGTCTGACTTTTTGTCTTTGCTAACTGCCTCCGCTTAGCATTTTTCCTTCTTTTCACTGGCAAAGAAAACTCTAAAGTCAAAAATCATTGTTGGTCTTACAGGTGGCTTTTGAAAACCCAAAGCTCACTATTTACTTAACCCTAAACTGAATAAGTAATAAAATAAATAAAATAGGCTTTTGTTTGCTTGTGTGTTCGTGTTTTTTTAAATTATTATTCTCAGGTTTGTTATAGTGTATTACTGCAACACATGATATAGTCATTATAGAGTGACATAAGTTAAGTGGCAAAATGTTAACAAGTGACTCTAAATGTACAAGCTCTACCTTTTCTCAAGAAGTCCATGTACATGAATTCAGTTTACTTAACAAACTCACTTAAGCACAGATTAATGAAGCATTCACTACTGTGTGTGTGTGTGTGTGTAATACAAGTGTAAATAGACAAATGGTTGGGATTTAATGTTTGGGTTGGACATGATGTTCAAATTTATTTTACAACCCCTACAAACAGAGAACACATGAGCCGTGCGTTGTTACACATACCCTCTGTTGCTGTTACCAATATAACGTTCAATGAATACTGTGACTGTAAAAAACACAACTCGAGAGATTTTTGTTTTGTTCTATCAACAAATCCTCACCCTTTAAAAAGGAATGCGTCTAAATGAATGAGCTGACGCTTACAGTAACCACAGCTTTTCCTTGGTTTTCTTCCATTAACCACATGCTTGCATACATGTTAGGGGGCAGAGTCTACATTTGGAAATGTACTTACAGTTAGGTGCACATGACTTGTGAGACACACAATATCACTACCAACTGTTTATAGATCAAACTTTCCATAGTGTGTCTGCAGTGACATGAAAACATGAGACAGATCACTCAGTGAAAATATACCAAAGGCAGTGATGTACAAGTTGTAAATTTTCATTTTGTATAGATATATTATAAAATATTCAATTTTATAATATAAGCTTCCACTGGAAGAAGGAGTGATTTACCATATTGTTATTAGATTTATTGTAAAAAGAATAAGTTTTTGGACAATAGTCTATTCTTTTTTTAATCATTTTGCCTCTGTTCACCAGTGGATTTTAATAAATAGAACCGTTAAGATGTGGTTGAAGTACCAAAGTTTGAGCTTTAATGCAAGGGCTGTTACAGTAATATTGCATTAAGTGCATTAACACTAACTCTTCATAGACACTTCACTGTACTTATCAAAACTTCGGCACTTATGCACTCCATATTGTGCATAAATGCCATTTTGCACAATATTCATCTGCTGACTTCTGTATTTCTGTATTGTTCTGCTCATATACTTTTTCCTATATTTCTCAAATTTCTTATTCTTATATTTTGTATTGTTTTTTAGGTTAGTTGTATGTTGCTTGTGAAGCTTGCACACAACAATTTCACTCACATGTACTGTACCAGTAATGTGACAATAAAAGTGATTTGATTTGAACTGTTCAGGTCTTACAGCTTCTTTTTTTTTTTATTTTAATTAGAGGCTCCAGAGTAGTTGGACAATTGACTGGCGAGCACTTTCATGGTCAGGCATAAGAGGGGTTAAAAAAAGCAAAATAAACAAAATTATAGAAAAAATAGGAGCGGTCAAATCAGAAACCTAGTTCATTCTTAATAAGAAGAAATGCCTTGTTTTCAGATTTGTTTTCCATAATTAATATAACCTAATCACAACATCTAGCCAAGTCACATTCTTGAGGAGATATGCTCATCGTGGTAAAACTCTTCATTCAAGAGATGTCAGTATGCATGTAAATACAATTCATTCACAGTAAGGTGCAAACCACTTTTTACACTCAACTACATGGATTTTGTTGTTTTTAAGAAAACAACTTATACAAAAATGCAAAAAAGTTTTGGACAGATGAAGACAAAGAATAACTTAAAGTAACTGACACATTATCTGTCAAACATGGTGAAATAATATTACAGCTTGATTGTTGAGTCCAACCTCCTCAAGAATGTTCTTGACTTGACATTGTGAATAGATTTTTATTATTTCAGGAAAAACTTCAGCAAATTCTGTGTGTTCCTTCCTTTTAAGAATGAGCTAGATTATTTGTCCATGCCTAAACTTTTTTTCTGTCACTCTGATGGGTTTATTTAGGTTTTTCAGCCTCCTTCATTTGCACCTGGCCATAAAACTGCTTGTCAGTCAACTGTCCAATGACTTTTGATCCTCTGCAAATGTATAAAAAAAGGGGCTTTAATTCCTCAACAGTTAATGCCATACTTGTAAAAGCCCTTCAATTAAAGCTCAAAGTCTGCTCTTCAGTCACAGTCAGTTCATTGTGGTGGTGAAAGGAGGCAAAATTATTAAAATAGGTCTGATCTGAATTGTATTCCTTATTTTTTTGAGTTTATTATTGGAACTAATAATATACATATTGAGAGTCTACAGTTTGCTTGTTACTCCCTTTGCTTCATATTCACTGAATAATCTGTTTTATATTTTCATGTCACTGCAGAAACACTTTAGACAGTTTGATCTATAAACATCTGGCATTGATGTTGTTTGTCTCACAACTCACATTTGAAAAATGTCAGCCTTCATGTGTTCAGAGATACCACAGACATGACTCCTGTGGCCTAAATGGCCACAGGCTGGGAGCAGATGTGACTGTGATATAACATCTACAAGCAGGAAGATTGTCCATATCAAATCACTATGTCTTGCAAAAATAAACAGCTTTTGGGATATGACTCAAACAGATTTTTACATCATAGAGGGACGCGTGTATATTACAGTCTTATTCAAATTTTCTTCACTGGTTTTCTTGACAGATATGAGATTATGAAGCTAAAGCTAAGCTAAAAAAACCATGATAAGTGAAACATGAACAAGATTCTTCCAGATTTTTACTAGTTGTGTAGTTGTTTCCATTTCACTGGTTGAATTGCTTTCATCACCCTCATCTCATAGTTTATTACTGTTCATCAGCTGTGTTCTTTCTCTGAGTTTATACAAATAAAACTACATTTAAGCAAGAACACAGTTTAAGTTAAGGGCACCACAAACATGTTCATAAGAGTGTAATAAGTTAAGATATTGGATGGAATTTTGATGCTGATGATGTTTTTAGTGTTTGTTTGTTTGTTTGTACCATATGTACATGCTGTTACGCTTTGTTGCTTTTAGTGAAGTGGAATTAAATGCAGAACAAATAAAAAGACTAGAAACAGATATATTAGCAGTTCCATCGCAGCAAACACAGAAGATATCTATCCATCCATTATCCATGTACACGCTTCACGTTTTGGGCCACTGGGAGCAGACAGCTGTCCCATCATGCATTTGTTACACCCTGGACAAATAGCCACTCTCTGACACATTTTTAATTAAAAACAAAACAAAACACGTGTATCACTTAATACGAAAGTAAAAACAAACAACTGGAGCTATTAACCCCATTTTCTAATCCTCAGAAGTTCCTTTACTCTGCATTTACACAACAGAAACCCACAGGTGGTATCATAACTACAGAAAAGACTATAGACTGGAATTATTTAGAACATTTTATTACTCACAGATCAAATAGCTTACTCTACTAAGCCTTCTATAATGTATGTGTGTATGTGTGTGTTTGTTTTTCAATAATTTCACTTCAGTTTTCTTTCTAGAAATTATCCTGATTTTCTTGCGTTGTTGTTGAATATAAACCCAAATATCCACCTGTACTTGTTTTTTTTTTAAATTTGTTTTAAAGATGCATTTATAGTTGACAAGTACACACTGTTGTTGCTTCAACCTCACTGCTTTGCAACACAAATTCTCTCCGTGTGTATGTGTGAGCACTCCAGTTTTCTCTTCTAAGGAAACCATAGCTCTCAGAAAACTCAAACACATAATCTTAATCACTGCACAACCAGTTTAAGATATGTCTATTCACCCTCCCACTCGAGACATTTTAATAACTATTTTATTTTAAGTTACTTAAGAGAAGGATTTTGACAATAGTTGGCTAAAGGACAATCAATGTTTGGTATAGTCTGAACTTCTGGACTGACGTACACGCTCCTCAAGTCCTGCCATCTCAGGTCAGTAGGTGATCTGACAGCCCATGTTTGGTGACAACCTCATCAAAAAAGACTGTGCAGGCTGAAGAAGCATGTGATGTGATTTGTAGTTTCATTTGTCTGCAGATTCTTGCAAAAAGTAAAGGAATATTTTAATTTTATTTCCAGCATTTCTGTGTTAGGAGTTTTCATTTTTCCTGTCCCTATATCATTTATCAGTTATGCTTTCCTCCCACAGTTTAAAGACATTCTTATTATGCTCAATTCCATTTTACCATCAGTTTTGGTCAAACATCCTACCAGCAGGTTTGAAACCTGGGGTAGTTAAGCCAACTAGCGTTTCTCAGCATGAGAATTAATTTATGAGCTATGACCTGAAATGAAGTTCAGCTTATTAATAACATTAAACTAACAATTTGTTGAACTTGTTTGTAATTTGTGATACTAAACTGTTTTGTGATGCATTTGAAAGGGCCTCACCCACAGTCTTTGTTACACTCACGTTCAAGAGGCCATTCTGGTGCTGCTCAGTTTCCCTGCTAACCGTCTCCAAGACTGTGACACAGCACACAGAAAAGCCCACACAGAGAAGCAGTCATGTATGAAGAAACAATGATTCAAGTGTTGCAGTAGCAGTAGTCTATTCCCACTCTTGAAATTTGTGCTAAATGCTACCTGCATTTTTGACAGCCTTTGTCTTCTATTGTGGATTAGTTCTAGACTCACTGGTGAAACAAAGACACACAGCCCACCAATAATTTGGGACATTTCATAAATTTGATAGCCTTCTTTTTAAGAAACTGCAACTTCATGATTACTTTAACTGTGAAAGGTCTTTAAGGAAGAGAAATGTTATGTCTTAATCAGCAACTGGTGTCTGCTTAAATGTATTTAGGATATTCTCCTGTATTATCACTGTAATTCATGTTATTGAATATGTTATTGAATGTTTAGGCATAATTAGTGCCATAACTAGGGGCTGGAGAGTATCCAACCACATAATGGGTAGGGTACGCCCTCCAGAAGTTATCAGTCTATTACTGGAGGAACACATCCTATTATTATTTACTTTTTTACACTGTCACTTAACAAATAGATAACTAGACTATTGTCTAGTTATCTATTTGGTTCAGAACTGAACCAATGGGACAGGTTATCATGGAATTGGATGGACTTGGATGGATCTGGAATTTTTAATAAGGTGTTTAAATCAACCTCTCAGAGATCATGTTAAAGGTATATCTGTACGATACAATGGATTATTTCTGAACAGTAATGTGAATTACAGCAAAAAACAAGTCTCACAACGTACAAATAGCACATGAATTTTGTTTTTAATTAAGAAACACCAAGGGCAAGAAGAGCATCTTTCAACATTGGAAATGAAACAGTCAAGTCATTTTGACATAGACATTTTTCAGCTGGTACACTTTCATTCATTTATCTGATACAGTAAGAATTTGCTTTTGTCTGCCGCTCAGAAGTGAAGGAGTAAAATGATCAATGAAAAAATCAAAATAAAAACAGCAAGTTAAAATCCAAAACCAAAAGTGCACCTTTCTTTATTTGTAGTGGAGTAAAATAAACCAAAAGCAGCTATCAGTTTCTCACTAACCGCATTTGGTGACAGTGTACAGTGTATGTGTGAAAATCCAGTTTAAGAGCAGATACACATAAGGCACCCACCAAGGGGCACACACACCATCATTATCTGCTTTAATGTCCTAACCTGGACCACAGCGTTAGCTTTCTTCATCCCGCTTGTTCATGATGACATCATTCTGTGCACTCATACATTTGGAGCCTAAGACTTTTTTCAATTAGTGAATAATAAGACCACTTTTCATCCATTTGACCAGGAAGCTCCAGTCAAATATCACATGTTAACCTTTAATGGAACCTTGTTGGGGTCATTTTTGAAGAAGTTTCCAGGTGGGCCCTATTGAAATCGAACATCAGGAGAAAAACAACAGGGTGTGGGAGGCAATACACAATAACCAAAGAAAAGAAAGTAGCAAGCTTCTGTAATTGTTCTAAAACAGTAGAATCGAGCCTAGAAAGCAATAAAAAAGCAGGGAAAAAAAGAAAAACACAAAATAAATTAAAACGGTGCAACTCTATGTGAAAGGATGCTGCTCATTTTAGGATATTAATACAAATATTTTAAGCTTACAAAAAAAACAAGAAAAGGGTTTGTGAATCCCAAAGTGATTGTGCCATTGTGTGGTGTGGTCAACTAAAGGCTTGCGAGCATGCTTTATTTTATTAGAGCTACACTATTGATCACAGCACCTGCAGGAGGCTTCCACTGCATTCACACATGGCCAAACACTAATCCAACTATGTGCTGCGGATGAATCTCTCTTTGGAGAGAAAACATCCCATAGAACCACAGAGCCTTCAGAGTTTCATAGCTTAGTGAGGTGTCTCTAAAGCTACCAAACCTGTGTAAAACCTTGAGGCAGTTCTGTATTGATCCTCCTGAGGATATGGATAATGACACATGCACACACACACAAACCCAAATGCACACATCTGACCCTTACTGCGGCTGAATGTGGAGTGTTCTGTGAAAAAACGGAAAGGTCTAAAACATACATAACAAACAAATTTACTTCACATATACACTCATTCTTAGTTGACACAGATATCTACCTGACTGGCAGATAGTTTAACACATAAAACAATATCTTCAATAACCATACATAAAAAATGACACATTTTCAGTTCACTTAAACTCCTTCTTTGAGATCTACTCAATCAAATAAGGCTGTTGAGGCAACAAACAATGCCATACCGCCATTAAATCAATCCAAAAATGCCATGCACATCAACAAAAGTAATGACTGTATGCTGATCTATGCCAAATTACTAAATAAAACCTCTACATGTGACATATTAACTATTTGACTATGTGCTGTATTTTAATGTCTCACCTTAGCACCAAGATTTCTTTCTTTAAAAATAAAAAAAATATATAGACAGAAGACAAAAAGCACTGCAAATTACTAGTGAATCAACAATAAGCCAAGCTGAAGCAGCGGTACTTATATCCTTAGCTTTTAATCATTTGTATTTGACGTCCTGAGTTGTGTGCTGAAGCTGCAAGTGACTGTGACCATGTGCACTCCTCTCCCAACGGTTCAGGAAAGACTGTAAGCATGCTCGCAATGAAAAGGTTCCTCTACAGAAGTGAAGAAAGAAGGCCTAAAAGTCTTCAGGTATTAATACAGTTAGGCCTTTAAAAAGCCCAGGACACAGAGTACTAGAACCCAGAAACAATTCTAGGAAAGATGAAGAGCAGTTATGGTTAGTTTGCATGTTTCCCCCCACAGATATAATATATATAATCATATGTATATAAATAAAAATTCAGTGCTGTAAAAACATCTCCACCTCCTTAGGATCTGACCCATCGTAGAAGGCCTAATATGTTTTACTTTTCTCATGGCTAATTCTACTGCTGGAAGTATGTAAACTGTACTGGTTTTCCTGTGTTAATAGTCCTTCATCAAGAATACAACACCGAGGAAGAGAAGACGTGTTAATATTGTCTGAATTTTTCTGTCTTTTTTTTGGTTTTACTGCACACAGATAAATGCATCTTGTTGTGTAATCTTTTTTTTTTGGTAGCAGCAAAGCACCAAGTATGTGTCAGGCTCTATTTGTGTAAGTCTTTTTGTGTAGGTTTGCTGTGTGTGTGTGTGTGTGTGTGTGTGTGTGTGTGTGTGTGTGTGTGTGTGTGTGTGTGTGTGTGTGTGTGATGTTTCTTCAAAGTCTCTATGTGTGTTTGTGTACGTGTGTGCAGCAGTCTATGAAGAGCATGGCTGCACGTTGATGCCATGGGCCGCGTGGGCTTCCAGGTCAATGGCCTGGGCTGGCTGCTGTCCTGGCCGAGCATTCATCAGTGCCAGGTTCCTCACACAGCCCTTCATTCCTGATGAAAACTTCCCTCCTGTCATGGCAGTCATACCCGGGGCTCCACCTGTTGCATGGAATCACACCCACATAGGTAACTTTATTGATTTGCAAATATTGAAGAAAAGCATGTCTGAAACTGACATACTGGAAAAAAGCTAGATGATAGATAAACACAGTGAGAAACTATTTCCATTGTAACCAAGAAAAATTAAAAGGTAACGATAATGCTATGAAGGCTAAAGAATTGTGTGAAAATTGTTTGCATGCCAGGAAAAATATGTGAACTACTTTGACACAATAATGCCTCTGAAAAGCTCAATTTTTTTCAGGGAAACTAAGTAGCCAGAAAATCCTCTGACTTGTGTTACAACTCATTATTTATCTGACTGTCTTTGAACAATGACAGCTGGGATAAGTGCCAGCCCCCCTGTGACTGTGCACTGGACAAGCGGTTAAGAAAATGGAAGAATGGATTATTATTTATTATTAATTCATCACTATTCATGTATTATTTAACTTATATTTGTGAATGAATGTATTCAATTGTGCAGTATTTTAGTCCTGTTTTTTCAAATAATCCATCTATATTTTGTCACTTTGTGGACTCAATCCTGCCATTCTACGCACCAAGATATATACTGCCTTTGGTGTTGACCATGAGGCTTTTGCCTTTAGATTGTCCATGCAGCTTGGCTCCTCCATCAACCTGGATATAGCCATCTTTTCCAGTTCTGTGAGAAAAGAGCCACACAACACAAGTTAATTCAAGAAATTATGGAACTCCACAGGTTAATAATCAACCTTTTCAACAACAGATAATCTGACAAAGTTACAGAAGTTACAAGTTATAGTACAAAAAGTATACGTTCATTTGATATAAATAATAGATGTATTCTACTGAGACAGAAAATTAAGTAGCTATTGATGAAAGAAGACAACCACAACTCATAGTGCTTTATTTTATTAAATACATCTAGAATGTAAAAGCAAATGACTGCAGGATAATGAAATGCAATCATACCTGACTGCTGTGATCTTATGCCATCTGCCGTCATTGATTGACCTGTCGGAAAAGATTTGTGCCTCTCCACTTCCCAGTTGGTAACTAGATAATACAAATCATGACCATAATTATGAGTTGTAAACATTTTTTCCTAATCTGCATGTCAGAAGATTTAGAGAATTTCAGAACAGACCTACCTGAAAACAAGGCGTCCATTCTGTAGGCCGAGGCTAATAAAGTCCTTGCGTTTGCCATGTTCTCCAGGTTCCTGGAATTAAATATGTTAGGTCACAACAAGGTCACAGCTTGTTGTGTGACTGTGTATGAATTGCTGAACACGGACCAGCTGACCTGTGGTCATATTGCAGAACAAGCGCTATAACAGCAAACATGAACCAGTGTAGTGAGATCATTCCTGGCAGTGACACAAAATGTTCCATGCAAACTAACAATGTCAAAAGAGGACTGATGATATAGTACCTTACAAACAAAGATACAATTCATTTGGCACAGATGGGAAAAAAAAAAGTGGATACCTTTTTAATAGCATGCACCTTTCGCAAAATGCGTGCACCATTGGTCTCCTGAGGAAAATTGAGGGGGTGAGTTAGAGAAGCAACATGCATTTATTTAGTGGTGTCAGAGGGTGCCAGGCTTACAGTCAGCATGCCTGAAAATGACATAGCTTCAGCAGAAGATTTGATAGTGTAATGATGAAAGATGTAGTAATGCATCAGTTATGTATTACCGACCGCACTGAAGTCTATAAATGACATGAAATGCTATGAAAATGGCAGCAATTCTTTTCTTTTCTTTTTTTTACAGTCACAGTGATGATTAAGAGTGCTCGAGTGCAGTAGCAAAGTTAGGTTGGGAATGAAAACATGGAGGAGAAATATGAATATAAGGCACAGAACTAGGCAGAACCAGGACTCACCACTCCCTGCCATAGGATCAGGCCATCAGAGGAGCTGGTGTTGATCTCCATTTCAATTGTTTCTGGTGAATCGTGGGCACTTAAACAGTAAAAAACAACAGCACCACAATAATAATTTCACTTCATCATTATATTAATTCATATAAATTCACTAAATGTGAAAACAAATTATTTACCTTCTTGGGAAAATGGATTTAGGAAGTGCAATGTATCCATTATTGTTGAAATGAGCTGCATACTGATAGGGTGAATCTGCAATAAATACAATAAAATAAGCATAAAAACAGATTCAAGTCACAGTAAAGCTGGTTCACCTTCACTTGAACTTATGGTGCCCTCTAGTGGTAAAAGTACAGAGAATTCCTGGTAAAACAGACTTGATTAGATGCAACATAAACACTATGTAACCATAGTGTAACCACAGGCTTTTTTTAAAAAAAAACTGTCTTATTTGTCTAGTAGATACAGCAGCTACTCAACAATGAGACAAACCCAAAAACAGGGAATTTTTTTTCTCACTGACATTTTTTGCCTCTTGATTTAAATTTTTTTTTTTTAGTTTTCATTTAGCGCGATACCTCGACTGTACAGATGTTGCACATGTAGCCCCACTCATCTAGGATGGCACAGTACATGTCATTGCTAGGTTTGTTGCATCTCCAAACACAGTCTCATGAGCATGCAGGAGACTTTAGGAGACATACAGTTATTCTAGGAGAGCTTGACAGTGCCGTAGAAAGTCCCTAAACCATCACCAGGACTGGTATCTGCTCCTTTGTGTAGGAACAGGCTGAGCACTGCCAGAGTGCCCTAAAATGACCTCCAGCAGGACACCGATGTGAATCAAACAATGAGAAACAGACTTTATGAGGATGGTCTGAGTGCCCGACATCCACTTTTGGGACCACTGCCCGATTGGCATTTGCCAAAGAATACAAGAATTGGCAGGTCCATCACCGCGCCCTGTGCTTTTCACAGATGAGAGCAGGTTCACCCGGTGCACAGTGATGGTCTTGGGCGGCATATCCATGGAGGGATGCTCTACAGCAGGGGTGTCAAACTCACATACACAGTGGGCCAAAATTCAAAACTGGAACAAAGTCGCGGGCTAACATTAATATTTATTGAAAAAAAAATCTTCCTCCAGATATAAGAATGAATCTTTTCTTATGGACTCCAATAAGTTTTGCTGGAAAACTGAATATGGAACAAGCAAAGCTTAATACCAAACAATATATATATTAGCTGTATAATACCAGTAGGCCAGCTCTAATAGTAATTTGGTATGGCTTCGCGGGCCAAATGTAATTAGGCTGCGGGCCAAATTTGGCCCGCGGGCCAGAGTTTGACACCTATGACTTATGGCAAAGTTAGTCTCAATGTTATTCTTTATTTTTTCTCAGTGTCTTCTTGAGGGACAGTATGTGTATATGTGTACGTGATATTAAATGAATGTTTAAGTGCAGGTTATTGTGCAGACTCAGCACAGAGCATCAAAGAGTTGATTTGTAGTGTGTCACATCAGTGTGGTGGCAGCTGTCCTGGCAGCCATTTTTGGAATTCCTTAAGATACTATGATTCATATCAGAATGTCACACATAAACACATTGTATTGAATGACACAAAAACAGAATCTTATGAGAATTATAAGCTTCTGCTAACATTCTGTCCACATTTGATAACCTGCTTAGTGATGTGAAATCATCATCAATGTGTGTGGGCAAAACAGAAGCAACTTTGGATTTCTAACTACAAATCCATTCTCTCTTGTTTCTTTTTGTCTTTATCCCACTCTAAAAGTTGGATGTAACAGTGAGACTAAATTCACAACCCAATAGAAACAGATCCAGGTACATTTACAGCAATATTCAAACTGAATACAGGCTGCTGGCCATTGACATGTAGTATACTTGAAGTCACCTGGAACTGTAGCTGTGCTGTAAACAAATAATGAAGCACAGTTTGACCAGAATAAGAACTAGAATCTTTAACACACTAAGATAATAAAATACACAAGCTATTTGGCTGGTAACTGGCAATAAGCCAGAGGACTAATGGCCCAGAAGGCCCAAACGAAACTAGTAATGTCCAGACATCTAGCCTATATTACTTAATATTCATTAACCTATTTAAAAAGCACTTTTGCTCTGTTTCAGGTAAAGTGTAAATCTGCACCTCTGATTTGTGTGATTACATTTTCTCTTTGTCTTTTTCTGCTGCAGCAGCCAAAGTCTGATTTATTAATGACAAACCAGTGGTAGAAGCATCATAACATCAAGAAAACTGGACAGTTAAAGGATTTTTCTTTTTACATAAAAAAGAAAAAAAATGTTTGATGATCTGAAATGTTTAAGTGTGACAAACATACAAATAAATAGGAAAACGCTTTTTCACACCATTGTCATATAAAAGACTTACTTCCTTCATTCTGTTCATTGACCCCATTGTGGACCACTAAAATTTTGTATACTATGTAGTATATACCTTATTTACTTTATTTATTAAGTTTTGGGTTTGTTTTGTTTTTTTGCGCTACATTAGACAACATCAAAATAGCGTTGTCAAAAATGACAATAGCGTTGGCATTTTTGTTATTTGTGTTTTGTAATCTTTATAAAAACCTAGAAAAAAACACCTCTTAATCTTTGGTATATGGCGAGGTGCGGTGGACATCCAAGTTTGTGATTGTGTCGATTTTTCAAATCAATACCATGGTTGCATCTACTGAAAATCTCTGTGAAGCTTAAAGCTCAGTGACCTTGACTTCAAGGTCAGAGTTTCACATTTATAACACAGGTATGTCTACTAGGAGGCTGAAGGGTATATATATTTATAAACAATCAAAAACAAAAATTTAGTTCCAATTTGTATGGAATTTATTTCTGTAAACATGGTGTTTTAGGTCGGATTAAAGGACTGATGTGATGGTAAGGTGTCCGCTGCTCTGCTTTGAATATTGGTAGGCTTTTTTTTTTTTTTAATTTTCACAAGAATTGCTAGTTCCCCCAGAGTTTTGGCCACCCCAGCAATCAGAAGATTCCCTATGAGCAAGCATTTAGTGACAGTGGGAAGGAAAAACTCCCTTTAAAAAGGAAGAAACCTTCGACAGAACCAGGCTCAGGAAGGGACAGTCATCTGCCGTGACTGTTTGGGGTGGGGGGAGTGAAAATTAAAAAAAAAAAAAGCCAAAGTGATAATTATTGGAGCAGCTTAATTAATATTTCCAGTGTAATTTGCTGTTAATATCCTTTTCCAACCCCAGTTTGTGTTTTTATCACTTTTGTCCAGGGTGGAAGATGCCATGCTGGAGAGTTGACTCTGTATGGTCTTTCAATGTTGATACTTGGGAACCTGTTGGAGAGGCCAGGGTTGAAAAAGGGATGCCGTAGAACCTGAGAGGGTGTTATCCGCTGGTGTGGATCCAAGGCCAACATCTCTTTAATTAGTCTGACAAATAAGCGTTGGCCATCTTCTGGTCCTCGTCTAAACATCATTATTTGTTCGAGGTCATCCATCTTGTCTCCAAAGATTCATATCCTGTCTCGTATTTAAATTGTTGGGCGGTCTTAAATGTCCAGCGCTGTTGGTTGTAGTTGTAGTTGTCTTTTGTGAAATAGTCTTCAGTATACACGCCAGAATCGAGAACATGATCTGGTGGCTGACCCTGAGTCTCTATGATGAATTTCAAAACATCATAATATTTTTTTCCAGGGTAGAGTGGCACCCCTGTAACAAGCTCAACAGCCACCAGCCCCAGAGACCACATGTCACATGCTTCGTTATAAGGAAGGCCAAGCATAACCTCAGGTGCACTATAACCAACCGTCCCCACACGGTCACCAGGCATCACTGCAGACGCAGGACATGCGAGGCCAAAGTCTATAAGTCTGACTTTGACTGGAGACTCATAGCGTTTTACAACCATGATGTTGCCAGGTTTGAGGTCAGCGTGCACTATTCCCAAAGAACCCAGGTGGGACAGAGCATTTGTGAGTTGACCTAAAATTGGCCTGACTTCGCTTATGGGGAGACGCCGGTTATTCGGGTCCCCTATGTAGTCCCACAGGCATTGATCTACGTAGGAGTTCAAATTTCAGGCAAACTCGCTCTCTGTCAAGGAAAAAGCCGTTCCATTGAACAATGTTGGCGGCATCTGGATCCAACCTTGCTCCAGGATGAAAATTTCCTTTTTTGCCTGTTCCAGAATATCAGTGCGGTTCTTGTTCACTTTAATAGCCACAGCTTGGTTGGTTTTAGTATCACGGCATTTGGCTACAATACCAAAGCCCCCTTCTCCGAGGAAATCCTCTACTTGTATGGTTCCCAAAAGCTCCCTTCACTATTTCAAGCTCATCTGAGCTGAAGGATGGGCTGGCTGATGTGTGGACGAATACTTGCTGAGAAAATTCAACCGAGTTTTGAAAACTGCAGTTGATTTTCTGATCTTTGCATTCAAGTTTGAAGGGTGCTGAAAGACCACAGGGTTTTGTGGTCTTTCAGCATGTCAATGCAAGGGGAACTCGTAGGGTTGAAAAAGGGATGCCGGAGAACCTCTAAGCCTTTCTAGACCTTTCTAAAAGTCACACTTTAACACACCTATGCAATGAAATGCCACTGCTTAAATTTCATTATGTTCTCAAAGATGAGAAGATAATGATGCATATGCAAATACTGCTTTTTTAAAGTGTAGAACAACAAAACTTCAAGATGCAGACTTGTGTCAACACTGGCCATCACATGAGTCAATTATTGACCGTTTCTTGCTCTTACGGACAAAAATCTTCACAGCCATGGCACCATGCACATATGCCACTGAGTACATAATATGCTTGAAATACATTCTGACTGAACCAAACAATGATCACATTGTACTTTCAGCAGACACTTTAAGTTGTTAGTGAGACCACAAATATTCTGACATGGAGCAGACTCAATGACCTGACTTAGTTTCAAAGAGGAAACAAGTGTTTTGCTTTAGGTTTGTTTGTTTTTTTGGTGTGGTTGTACAAACAGGCAGGTTTTTAGTTTACAGAAACAAGATTGTATTTGTAAGTATCCATCTTACAGGCACAGGCATAATGAGAGTGAAAGAGGAAAAGAAAAACAAGGGGAATTCCACATTTCTATCACTTCCAGAATGAAAATGGTGCAACTCCAATGCAGAGTGCATATATTAGTTTAGCTCCCAAATGCAGGCTACCACCCTATTACCCCTTAGTTTAAATGCAGAATTCCCCTCTCCCAACTTTCAATGGGAATGATAGCCTCAGTTGTTGGTGAGAATAAAGACGCTTGGATTGTGTTTTTGTGGGCATGTATGTTAGGTAAAAGACAGTTCAGGTGGAGCTTTGAAGGGACATGGGGCCCCTCAAACTCAGACAGGGCCCTGTTAGTCACGGTCGCGTCAGGCAGACTGAATATTTAGATACTGTACCATTCGCCTCGCTAGACTCCAAATTCCTCAGGGCCTCTGGGAAGCTGACGACCTGGCCTTGTGTGCAGGATATAGTGGTGAGAGTGCAGGAGTAAGACACGTGTAATCATTTAGGGTTAACCCTCCCAGCACTGCATGCTGGGAGCAAACTGTTTGATGTATAATGGGCTTTATTTTTTGGAAAATTTGAATCACATGTGCTGTATGTTTGTGACTGTGTGTGCAACCATTTTTGCTTTGATGATGTGTGGCTTTGTCTAAAGGATATACATTTGTGTACTAAGCAGTGTAACGTGAGAAGATATGAGTCGCTTTTTGCTCCTGGTTTAGACTGGTTTAATGACAACATGCAGTATTTCACCTGATAATACTTCCTCACAGTTGAGACCTGTGTACCCAGGTGTACACACACACTGGCTGTTGATGCAGATGCCTCCATTCTGGCAATGAAGATTGCTATGGCACGCGTCCTTCACTATCTCGCACCGTTCACCTGCAGGGTCACATATCAATCATGAGTCAAGAAAGGTCACAGGTCAAACAGGTTACTTCTTCAAAAAAGTAACTGAGTTTTGCAAACAAAGTTTTTTGCAGCTCTTTCCCTAAAAATAAACATTTCAAACTATTTACAGAACAATCAGGTGTTCTGTTCTGCATCAAATTTGATGCCACACAAATTATTTGTGCCACTCCCAAAAAAGATTTCTGTCCACTATGAGATAAAGGGGAACATCACAAGCCTGATACCTGCAGGCCTGACAACAGGAGATGTATCACTCCTGTAACACTTAACATTAGCAGTCGCCTCATTGTTCTGACACACACAACAAAACTATTGACTACACTACACACTAACTTCACAAGAAGCTAAACGTCGCAAATCTCTCACATCTCAAAACACCGCTGCAACTCCTAAAACTTCTCTCTCCCTAAACAACTAAATGCCATGTTGTCATATCATTTTTTGATTGATAGTACATTTTTCCACCAATAGGAAAGGCTGGGGGGGGGTTGCTCACAGGCGGAGAGCGCTTTCAAGCGTTTTCCTTATAAAACGCCATTTTTACAGTTTCTTCCCGCAGTAAATATAAATAACGATAGTATTCAGGAAATAAACAAACACGGCATATATTTTTTTATCATAACTATGGTTTTACGTGGCCTATCAACACAATTGAAAAACTGTTATAGTTTTTCAATTGTGCTATAGTCCACACTTTCACATCTCCAATGGTTGTACACGTCATTAACGTGGCTTCACTCCACATCAGCCACGCTTTGCTAGCTAAAATACCGGTGTCGGCACATAAGGATGCTGTCATAGCCTGCCAACGACGTTGATTAGCTGCGTATATACGAATGTGAATCGCATTATTGGCTGGACTATGGGATAAGGTGACATCGTTCTAAACCCATACTGGAGCAGCCAGTCACTTACTGACTAACACTATTTATTTTAATTTCAATTCAGGTTAGATTTCTTTTTGTGCGCAACACAGCTTAGAGGGAACATTGCATGTGACATTTGCTATGTCTTCTTTTAAGCACTCACCTTCAAATCCATCCTTACAGAGGCACTGGTACTCATACTCAGCACTAGACATGCAGTGACCACCATTCAGACAGGGCCGCCGGTCACATGGGCTTCTGTCCACACATTTACTGATAGATCTACTCTCTGTGAAGCTGTAGGACAAATCCACCTTCTTGTTGTTGATGGAAACCTAAGCATGTAATACAAACTAATTCAAGCTTCCACGTGTTCAAATATATTGTGTAACCACATCTCATTTTTAGTACACAGAGATCTCACCTCTCCTATGCAGCCCTTAAACATGTCACTGACATTAGCAGGCTTAGGCAGGATGTCCATGTTGGACACTCCTCCTATGTACATGAGGGTGTGAATATTGAGGCCCTGGGCTTTGCCCGGAGATGTCTTTCTCTCCACTGGACCTTGGTCGACCCTCAGGTGGCCATCCCTCTTGTTCCGCTCAGCCACAACTCTGTGCCACTGCCCCAGAGAGACTGGCTCAGGACTGACAAGTATCGCCTGGCCTGAAAGACAAATACAAAAACTATTAAGTTTAATTTTATACTAATTACAATAAGAAAAGAGTGCCACTTTTATTGATTTAACATTTCTATAACTTCTATATATCATGGAGTGATATTTACAATCAATATCTATATATTATAGCTACTTTTCTAAACTTTTAATCAACTGTAAAACAGTTTCAGTTTAAGTGTTGTTTTCAAGAAATTGCATGCTCAAAATTTTTTTGTTCTCACTCCCATTTCTTCTTGTTGCACATTGAAGCTCTACTTGGAACCTTGTGAAGATCCAACCATGCAAAATACGATTTTTTGCCATTTTTCAAGTAGACTTAAACTTTTAATCGGGACTGTATCACTACCTAAATTGTACAGTTGCTTATTTTGAAATAAAAAATAAATATGATTTCTCTTTACCTGTGCCCAGTTCATATCTAAACTCTACATGTCCCTTCACCATGGAAATGGCGACGAAATCCTCCACCTTCATTTTTTTCCCACCACAGAAGAAGATCAGGCCATCTCTCTGCACTGGCTTGAACTCCAGCTCAACACGCAGGTCATCATGGATGTTGGTCAGAGGAGGATAGGCGATGTATGACTCCTCACCATCAAACAGTGGCGTGGTAACCAGTTCCCCTAGGAGGAAATTAATAAAAAAAAATAAAACTTAATTTCTTATAGCAGTGTTATAAATAATTATATCTGCATATCACTATGTACCTTACATTTTCATCATGACCATTGTAAAAATATGTCATAACAGCTAGATTTTTCTGTTTTTATAAAAGACAAAGGTATATTTCAACTTACCATCCATGCATTTATCCCCAAATTTGCCAAGATGGCAGCGGCAGTCGTAGCCAAGGCCATTCAGGCGGTTGATGCAAGTAGCATCTGGTCCACAGGCCTCTGAAAAAGGTGTGAAAAATGATGAGTGCAACACTTTTATTCGTTTATAATAATTCCATTAGGAATATTCAGATACTTTGATTCAAATGTGGGGTCAATTAGTGATTCACACCTACCCGAGTGACAGTGGAGAGAAGAGTGGTGCTGACAGTTGCTGCCTGTAAATCCTCTGGGACAGCTGCACTTATACAAACTAGCCTCTGAATCCTCACACATCCCTCCATTCTAATTCAGGATATTACAATTTGTTTTACTAGTTATAATAAAATAAAACAGCAAACAAAGAAAGATGTGGATAGATTTAACTGACCTGACATGGTTTATCTTCACAGGTAGGACAGTTTGTCACACCAGTAGAGCTGCGGTCAAGGTCTTTAAAGATGATTTCCTCACCCTGGATGAATAGCTGACGAATACAGCCTGCATGGTACCAACACTCAGTAAGGGCAAATCATCACACATATATACAGAACCTTTCTCCACAATGTAGTTCTGTTATTTAGTAAAGCATGGGATATCTTACCCACAAAACCAGTCTTAATTCCAGCAGTTTTGGTGAGGACTGTGTAGTTGGGATAACCACCCACATAAAGCTCCTCATTGAGATCCAGACCCTGGAACTTGCCCTTATTAACAGAAAAAAGACCACATTAACTTGCATTAAAAATGAAGCGCAAATAGCGGATCAGCTGTCTTGCTCAGCTGTCACTGAAACGACAGTACCTGTGAGCTGCCATTGATGGGCTCTCCTCCATCTACAATAATATATCCTTGGGTGAGGTTGCGATGCAGCTCAACTGTGTGAAACTCTCCCAGTTTAATAGGGTGCGGGTCACGTATGGTGGCCATGCCAGAGCCCACATCAAACCTAAGATAACAGAGATTTTAAAAATCCATACATCTTCTTAAGGTCACCTGTCCATTTTTAAATTATAGCAATAGTATATATGATAACAAATGTAAATTGATTTCAACTGACCGGAATTCCAAGCGGCCACCCACAAGCCCCAGAGAGATAAAGTCAGCTCCTGTAGTCCTTCTCTGGCCATTGTAGAGAATCATACCTGCACAGCAAGAAGACACAACACTAGTACAAAGTTGATTCTAGATAATTTTCCCCACATCTTAATCCTTATCCATCTTAATAAGTCAAATAAATCTACTAGATTTATTTAAACACATGATGTTATTTCAAGAATATCCTTGTCTCAGTGGTGCATAATTTCTCTTTTCAGCTGTGCCTTCATTTAATGGCACTGCTTTCAGAGTATTTACACGATATGTAAGTGACTTGTTAGGATGGATATTGGTTGCAGTATCATTCACACAGGAAGTGAAAGAATCAATCCAGTGAAAGCTGGATGGTAAAGCAGCATGCTAGGGCGACACGAGTATAAAGCCAACCAAAGCCATGTTACAAACGGTCCTCCTATCACTAGGCTGCAAAATGGAACCAGTCACATCATAATAGCATATTCTTCTGTTTTCTTTCTCTATATGCTGAAAATATACATGCTTATATGAGGCTCATGGTGAAATGCGAACATGCAATCTTGCATGTCTACCTTTATCTTTACCGAAAATGGATGATCAACATGTTAAAAAAAAATAAGGATACTGTAAAACATGTAATTAATTGTTATTCATTTGTCATTAATCTGAGGCTGCACTTACATAGTTTTAAGATCTTGTAAAGACCTGATCATTTTTATTAATTCCTGTTATGTAAAAACTTTACCATATTTGATCCTCTAAATATATGAAAGCAAAAGATTTTAATAGCATGGTCAAATTGTTCTTGCAGTTTATTTCATTTTGGGTTTTTTTGCTTTGTTTTTTTTGCTACAATTTGCTACCTGATGGGTGGAGCAAAAATCTGTAATGTCACATATAAGTTGCAAAAGATAAAACTGGCAATGATGAAAATTAGAGCCAGATAGATTTCCATCAATGCTGAATTATTTCATGCCCCATTCATTCAAAAGAGAGAGTATAACTACTGTACTTGCAAAAGCAGCTTGACTTTAGCTTCAAATGTGCATTTGTAATATTGTTCTTCCTTATACATACAATCATTTGAAGCACAGCTGATTTGTACATAGCTTTGAAGCGGATGAACAAGACTGGGATGTGAAAGCAGACTTGTAAGCTTTTTTAATACTGATCACATCTAATATTACCAAATGTGTTCTTGGAATCACGAATGAAAACTCAGTACAAAAACATTGGCCATGCACCATGTCGAATCTGTTTCACAGCCCCAAAATCAGCTCTGAGCTGGATGCATTATGGGAAAATCTGATGCAGCCAAAAAGCAATACTGCCAACATCAGCCTTGAGTTCCTGAGATTCTCAAGCACTGAGACTCACCAGCGTACAATATGAGACCTTCCCACCACACGGGTGAGATGTGAGAGAGATGGAAGGGACAGGAGACGCAGTGAAATTACACATGAGGAGATATGAAAAATATACTACACAACAATGCGCAAGATTTAACAAAAAAGTAATGCAAAATATACACTATGCAATTAAAGCAGATTTAAGTATGTACATCCTTACCATCAACGTTATCAGGTCTAAAGTTGACCTTAATATTGAAAGCTTTATAAGCATTTTTGATAGTTGGCAGGGTGAGGTACGACGAAGGTTCCTGGGCAAAATATGGCATCACTCTCTCTGGAAGGAAAAACAAGAAAAAGAATCACATTATAGTTAACGCAGGCTTTTCTTTGGTTCATACTCACAGCTATTTACTAATATCTCAACTCCCCACACTAACCATGGACTTCAAGTGTAGTAAAGGACTCCACTTTGCCCTGCTTGTTTGAGGCTGTACAGACGTATGTGCCAGAATCCTCATGGGTGACCCGAGGAACTGTCAGCACGTTGGCTTCTTGGAAACACTTAGCAGGAAGCTCCCTATCAAGCTACATAAACAAACAAAAAAAATAAATAAAAAGATTTGTACATAAAACACACTATGCACATATTTTTAAAATAAGGTTTTACCAAAGAGAGACTTTAGCCTCAATAATCTATCTTAACAATGTCTGCTAGGCTACCTTAGACCATTTGATATCAGGAACAGGATATCCTGAGGCCACACAAGGCAAGACTGCATCTGACCCAACTGCCACCTCCTTCGTTTTTGGCAGAGCAGCAATTTGAGGAAGGGCTGTGCAAACAAGTTAGGAATTGAAATGATGATGAGTGGGAGCTTAAGTCATTAATATGTTTGAAAGTGCAAGCATCTGCCTATGTGATGAAAGGGAAAAATGTCCCATTATGAACTCACACTGGACATTCAGGACCACTTGAGACTGTACTGAGCCCACATCATTGGTGGCTGTGCAGCGGTACTGGCCAGCATCGGCCTCTGTCACCTGTTCAATCTTCAGCATGCCACCCTTCACTACAATGTGAGGTGGCAGAGACCCACCGACTTTGCTCCACTTTACTGTGGGCTCTGGGTCACCAACAGCCTGGCATTCAAACTCCACAGAGTTCCCAATCATAACTGTCTGCACTGAGGTACGCACATTGATCATGACCTTTGGCAAGGCTGTGGAAAAAATAAATAACAAAGATGAATAAGGTTGGAACTGGTTTGGATAAAGCAGTGTATAGATTAGCGTATACACAAAGGACGTAACAGACCTTGGATTGTCAAACGAGCAGTGTCCTGTGCTTGACCATACACGCTGCTAGCTCGGCAGATATAAACACCTTCATTGCTTTGCTCTAGGTTCTCAATCCTGCAGGAAAAGGTGATTGGAAAAAAGTTTGAACACATATTATAGAACATTTAAGGGACTTGATTATTTTACTTTTGCTTCTCAGTTGTTGTAGAAAAAAAACATTACAAACATATCAACAAACTACACCGTCGTGTAGGAGAGTGTATTTATCACAGTGAACAAAGGCTCTGCAGTTTACTTTTAGCTCATTCCTTCTGTACTAACCTCCTGCCTGAAATAAACACAAGCACACCAAATCCACGTCTGAACATAGTCCCCATAAATTCATCATATTTTTTCCTTGATATGCAGTTTTCATAATCTGCCCTTTAAAATTAAAATCACATAATTGTAACTTGTTTTAAAAATGTTCAGTAGGAACAAATTTACCTTAACAGAGACAATATAGAAAACTCAAAATGCATTAAGAGATTGATTCATGTGATGACTGAATTGATGCACATTTGTTGACTTGTAAAAAATCCAAAGTACACAATATCACCTCACCTTTAGGTAGATCTTTTGAGTTTATTATGTTTAATTTGTTTTGGGAAGACTAAGATGAGAAGACTAAACTTTCAGGACACACAAACATCCACATACTGACACGTTTTTAATTATGACTTCTTTTCCATTTTCATGAATCCAAAACGAATTACCTGAGCACTCCATCCTTGATGTGGCTGTTTGGTGGAAGGGCTCCTCCTTCCTTTAGCCACTCAATCTTGGTTTCTACACCACCTGCTGCTGAACAGGTGAACTCCACAGCACTGCCCTGGGCTTTTACTTCAACCTGTGGTGCTACACGCACTGCCAACGGAGCTACAAAAAGGAAAGAAGACTGTCGTCTAAGTTTTGCTGTGACACAGCACATAACGGTTACAAGAAGAAATTTTCACAAGAAGAAATATGAGTGGTATTTATTTTAGACTACTGGCCTAACTCACATCTGACTGTGACTTTTGCAATCACTTCACTGTTGCCCACTTTGTTGCTGGCCACACACTTGTAGCTTCCAGCATCCTCAGAGGTAGCTAGGTTTATCTGGAGGTCCCCTTCCCTAACCTCAGCCCTTGGCGAGAGGTTTCCATCCAGCTTGGTCCAAGTATAGGTCAAAGGAGGAGTTCCATGGGCCAGGCATTGCAACCTGATCACCTCCCCAACCCGCACAGCCACATCATTAGGCACAGAGGTGGCATACGGAGGAGCTAGAGACAAGAGAGGAAAAACTCAGTAGATTAACTATAGACTGCAAAACTACTTTAAATCCATAGTACACGCATACCCAGACAGACTCTGAAAAGTGACTACAGAAGCAACAATGGAAATACAGACACTCACTCTCTACATCTAACGTAATGGTGACTTTAGTGGTGCCCATGTTGTTGGTGGCACTGCAGATGTACTCTCCAGAGTCTTGTCTGCCAACGTTTTGCAACACCAAGCTGTTGTTCACAAGCGTGTGCCGCCAAGGCAGAGGGGACCGCAGCTTGGTCCACCTGATTTCTGGGGCAGGGAAACCTACCAAAAGACAAAGCAGGGAAATAAATATATTCTTTTCAGCTCGGCTTGAAATGGACACTTTCAAACTGTTTACTTCTTGCAGTATTCACTTAAAATGAAGCTGATTTTACAGGTTTTACCTTTTTATAGTACTACAACATAAAAACTGTCAAAGTGTATTTATAAAAAGGTTTCAGATGAATTCAAAATACATTACCGTGGGCCTCACAGCGCAGTGTTGCAGTTTGACCCTCCACTACAATCATAAGCGGTTCAGGAACAAAGGCCCTGGGCACTGTAGGCAACTGGGATCCTCCCTCGACAATTACTTCCACCCTGGTCTCAGTAGTACCTTCATTGTTTCGAGCTGCACACACATATGTGCCACTGTCTTCTGGACGTGCTGCTAGTATCTGAAAAAAGGACATAATTAAAAGAGATAATATTAAAATAAACAGACAAGCACTGACTTGGAAGCTGGGTCTTTAACTAGGAAAACAGGTAGAAATCTGGATTGGTTTGAAAATTTTGACAGTGGTCTAAGAATATCAGTACCTGCATGACTGCGTTGGACTCCACGAGCACAGGACTGCTCAGCACTACCTTGCGGTTGTTGTCAAGCCTGTGCCATGAAACCAAGGGGCGGGGCTCTCCTGAAGCTTGGCATTCCAGGTTAATGGGCTCACCCACCCTAATCTGTACAGGCCCGACAGGGGTTACCGTGGCCACAGGAGCCTCTGAAGGTACATACGCACAATATTGGTATGGAGTGCTGATATTTAAGCAGCCACTAGAGGGAACCATCGTGCAAACCAGTTTGAATAAAGTGCTGAATGACATGCATGCAGCTTACCCTTAACAATCAAAGACACTATGGTGTGCGTGATGCCGAATGGGTTGCTTGCCACACAGCGATAGGCACCATGGTTGATGGTGCGTGCATTGGTAATGGTAATAACAGAACCATCAGAGCTGACTTTGACATTGTCTGCAGAACACAGTGGCAAATGAAACAATAAATTAGCTTTAAAAACTGAAGAAGACATTTAAAAAAATTGTACTCAGTCTACAAAATCAGCAGTAGTAATCTCTTATTCACTGGTACAAAGAGGTATCTAATTACTTCTTTAAGACAGACAAAAGTGTGAACCTTTTTGGCGGTGTGGGGTTTGAAAGAAGTAAAACTTCACGGGAAAGGAGAGTGCTAATGAAAACTCATTTAGAATTTCTCTTTCAGGTTGGGGTGCTGTCTGAACATTTTCTACGTTTGTTTATCAGAAAATACTTTGTATTAGTCATATTTTTAATACTAGAAATGCTCTGTGTGATTTAGGCTAAGAAGCTGCTTGACGAGAGCATGGAGGACGAAGTACACAGAAGCTTTGAATTCAATGTCCCACCTTTGAGCAATCTGACATAATATGGACACCTGAAAGTTCAAAGTTCACAAACTTGTGAACTTTCAGGTTAAAGATTTTTTATTGTCCAATTTAACCGTGGTGGACATGTGGTAACATTTAGAAAAGTTCAGAACTATAGTAAATGTGTGAAAACACCCTGGTTTTTATCCTTAAATCTCAGAAAACTCTCAAAAACATTCAAATATGTTTTTCTAGCCCCCCACGTAAACCCTTGGTTTCACTGTAAAAGCTTTCACTCTAGAAAATATGAATATTTATTGATCATATTTATAAGCAAGTATCAATTTGTTATTACAATAAAAAGGACGCTTTCTCAAAAGCTCCCTGAATGAAGTTTAAAATTAGTGATTAAACATAGAATATATTATGGAGGGTGAACTGCAGCTGTAACTGATTGTAAATAATTATGTCATAAAATCAGTAGTTATTAAGAAGGTTTTGTTCTTTAAAGGCGGTTTGAGCACAGTAATTACCTGGCAATGGCTGTATGGCCAGTTCCACTCCATCTAACGGCTGGGCTCACTGTACATTGATTTGAGCTGGCTGATCCTACACGCACTGCAGCGCTGTGGGGTTCAATGGCAATGATTGGGCTCTGCTGGCCTGCAGCAGAAAGCAGTGGTTTTGACTCTGGACAAAATCTCTTTGAACAATCTCATTCATTTAACTGATATACTAGTCACAAAAACATGAAGCAACAGATTCATCATGGTGATGGGTTACACTGGCAGCTGGGAAAGTAACTCAAACATCACTGAAGTCAAGGAAGAAGTGAATGAGGATGAGATCATGGATAGTTGCAGGGAAATAATCATTGGTCAACGGCAACACTGGAAACTGAAAATGGAAAGTTAATTCATGAAGTGAAGCAGTGAGAACAACACCTTCCCATGTAATGCCCTGTTTCGCCCAGCTGCTGACGGATGCTGGCAAATAAAAATCCCTGGTACTGTCAATCTCAAGCATGGTGAACACAGTGAGCTTAAACAATGTGAAAAAACCCAATGGGCTCTTAGATTACTTGAGTCTGTCAGTCAGTCTTTATAACAGAACATTGGAAACAATCAAATATTTAAACTGAGTCATTTTACTATTTCACAAAAAAATATTAGATCATTTGAATATAATGGCAACGGAAAATCAAAAAAAAAAAAAAGACTGAGCAAAGAAGACTGGAAAATTAAGTGTTACCAAAAAATAAAAAATAAACAGCTGGAAGAAAATTTTGCAACTAATTTGGTTAATTAGCAACAGGTCACTAACATGAGTGGGTCTAAAAAGAACATCTTTTCATAGATTCTCTGAAATAAAGAGGGATGCCAGTCAGCAGAAAAATTATTTGAGCAATTTCAGAATAATGTTCCTCAACGTACAATTCTGAATTCTGAATGTCTCATATTATGGAGGTGCATTAGTGCCTATAGAATGGGCAGCTTGCACATCTGGAAAGGCACCATCAATGCTGAAAGATCCATACAGGTTTTAGAACATGTGCTCCCGTATGATATCTTTTTCAGGGAAGGCTCTCAGTGCCACACAAACTTACGTGAAGAAGACGAAGTAACAGACACAGAGACAGAGGCCTGATGGACACGAGATCCAGAGCTGCCGGGGTTTCCTTGTACTCGACAGATATACTCTCCTGAGTCGTCTGCAGTAGCTGACAGGATTCGTAGCTGACTGCCCACAACCTGCACAAAGGAATCGAGTTGCTTCAACTGAACATGCAAGATGAAATTACCACCTTACATTTACTACTGGAAAAAAAATCAATACACTAATGAGCAAAACATTATAACCACTCACTAATGAAGCCAATATAATTGATTATTATGTCTCAACATTACACGTTAAGCTGAGGAATATATTCACACAAGTTACGGGAAATTTAATGATAGTTACTAACATAAAGTATGCTGTTGTATATAGGGCTGCAAATTCACAGACCAGGGACTGAACTACATTTTAAGCAATTGAAGGAAGCCAGCTGATTCCCTTCTCTTTGAAATCGTGTGAACAGCTAACATTTACCAGGGGAAGCAATGCCACCAGGATGCACTGTGGGAAGGATGAACCCTACAGCTAATTTCCCCAGATGAAACTCAAACTGAGCATCTGTGAGCTGCTGTGGAACAACAAGTCTGTCATCACATTGAAACTTAGGGGAGTTAAAGGATTTGCAGTTCATATCTTGTTGCCAGATACCACAAGGCCTGAAAAGTCTATTTCTTGGTGGTTCGCAGCTGTTTTGACAGATGTGTCCATCTAGATTATTTTGTGTGACATGCTTAGTTTTGGAGATATCATTTTTGGAAATGTCAGCCTTTTCTTGAACTAGATGGCATAACTTTCTGGTGGTTAAAGCATTAAAAAAAGTCAGCAGTAATGTCTCGTTCCAAATCTTAAAAGTTTTTCTTACTATTTACTGTTTTTACAAAGTTCTTTTGTCTGAAATACATGCTAACTGTGCATGCATTACTAAGGATTATATATTACTATTACTATATCTGACATAAAAATGCTGACAAAACTGATATAATGGATAGGCACAAAAGTAGGTTGTGCATACACTGGACTTTGGCAAGAACCACGATCCTTGTGATTGTATAGTATGTACTGTATGCATGTTGAGTGAGTCTAAGTCAAAGAACCAAATTTATGTGCAGTCTGGAAAAGATAAAGGTTATATAGATTATTTTCCCTTGCTAGCATATAAGATATCTCTTATCAAATGGAGGAACAATGACGCACAATGTGTGATTACCTGGTGATTGGCAGAGAGGTGTCCACTAGCTTTAGTCCAGATGACAGGGGGAGGAGGATTTCCTGGCGCAAAACAATTGAGCTCCAGATTGTGGCCTACTTGGACATCAGCTATGGATGGTTGGATGCTCACCACATTATAGCTATGATCAGCTGCAAGGCACAAACATAAATAGTTAAGCTGAACAGTGTTTTTATCTGTCAGAGTATTTATAGTAAAACACAATAAAATGAAATTAAAATTGAAAGTTGTGTCTGAGCCACTGATGACTTTAGTTTGACTACCATGCTGTCTTACCTTTGTGCACACTGACTTTAATGGGAGCACTATTTGAGCCAATGCTGTTGCTGCCGACACACATATAAGTACCCGAGTCGGCCACCTTGATATTAGGGATGAACAGAGTACCGATGTCGGTGCGGTCATTACGAGCCTGGAGAGGACATACAAAAATGAGACAAACTTAGAAACTACATTACCATTCTTTTGTGAAACAATACAAAACAAGCGTTATTTGACTTATATTTGCCTCATATTTGACAAAGATAAATCATAAACTGACAGAGCACATTACTTACCTGTGTCCCTTGAAACAGCACAAATATAACATTGCTGATTGAGTCACATTACTAGCTAAAAGCAACACAAAAGCGCTATAGCATAGGTCTTAAAGACGAGACAAGAGCTGTTATTACTCTAGTTTGTACAGTTGTTTATGAATTTGGTGACACTGTCCATCGTACATGGAAGTGTAAAAAGTAGTGCCAGCTTTACTACGATGTTATGATTTGTTAATAGTCCATGATCAGTGATAATTACAGCACTGTGCACTCATCTTGAGGACTTTTCTTTATATTTTGTTCCCAAGCTTCCAGCAGCCTTCTTGATTTTTTAGGTGGTCTCTTCTCCATTTTCTCTTATGAAGGTCTTTCAAAATTCTTTGAACATTGGCTGTTTTTTAAATCCTTTTAGACCATTTGCAAAGGAAGGATTTTTGTTTTTTAAGCCACGTACCACTTACCAGGCCTAAAAAAGTATCTAGAGCAAATAAACAGTATCTGTTTAGGAACAGATGCTTCAAACCGCTTCAAGAATTTACAAAGATGTGTTGCTTAAGAGCAATATTTCTTGTGTTGAATCATAAGCACAGACTGAACAAGTATTATTGTTCAGTCCCAATTCCCAATTATTGACTTTCAAGCTGGTTTAAAATTGAACAAACTCTGTTTTTGCCTTACATAATGTACCTCGATTTACATTTGCACATTTCAATAAATCACTGTACCTATTTTCAACTTTCCTAGCAAAATATAAAGAAATTTGGGGTGACTCAAAACTTTTTGCACAGTACTGTAAATTTACTACAGCTTACAGTTGTTGATCACCAAAATAATGAAAAAATTACAACATTTAGAGAAGACAGGTTGTGACAGTTAGCATTTTAAAACAGGTCTAAACTTTATATCCACCATCAAATATCTTAAAACAATTTCACCACATATTTATGAGCTCCTGAGACTTTTCAGCTAGCAACTTGACTTGTTTGTACTCTACTCCACATGGCAGTCAGATGCCCAGCAAAGCTGAAAATGAGCTTGTATTAAGTTTGGAAACACCTTAGATGGGAGGAGAAACAGAAAGGGGTTGGTCTGGGGAGGGATTACTGTATCCGGGGGGTGTCAGGGCATCCATGGACAAAGCTGCTTAGCTTCGGACCATTCAACCGTGAGGGAGGCTAAACCGAGCAGTGGCTGAGGCGGGCTGTGGCTCAATGTGTGTCTGAACCCATTGACAAGTTTTCAAAGCAAGCTGTTTGCTAGAGCATACAGAATTTCTGCGTGGTCGCACGGCAGAGCCCGGCTCCCCCTGGGAAAGGCTGACACAACGCAGTGGCTCTCTGAGGCAGAACTAAACAGGCCCCGAAGCCCTTGTCAAGCCGAGGAGGGCCGGTCAGAATCCAGACTAACACAAAACCCTCTGGGCAGGGGGGCAGAGGGCTACGCCTGGCATAGAGAAAAATATGTCTGAAATACCTACAGTACCTACTGTATGCTTAGTGCTGTTAATACACTCAATGGAATGATGGGGTCAACTGGGTGCTGAGAACCCAAACATTTGAGGGATGGTATGATATGGACAGCACAAAAACAGGACACCATGGAATGCCTTTATTATTACAACATAATTTAAAAACAGGTACTGCATGCGAGTACACTAAGAAGTCAACCGGGCCGAGCTAGTTGGTTTTAATGTATTTGGCACCAATGCCACAATGACTTAGTGAGCAGCTGTGACAAATTAACATAGTTTACAAAGTGTGAATCAAGGACACGTTTGATCATGCACTTAGTCGACAATGTGTGAAGACAAGGTCAGTAGAGGACAATGGATGTGAACTATGAGACAAAACAGACAGACGGTGGACAGATGGACAGACCTGCAGGTCCTCAATACGTCTCTGTAACACATCGAGACTGTTGCTTTTAAACTGATGGAAACCGTGAGAGGGAATAGCCTGAGCAAATGTCAGAACAGGGTAGGACAAAAAAAAGAAGAGGAGGAGACAAACAGAAGGGAGGGAAAAATAAAGTTAAGAGGTCAAAATGCTGAAACAGCCATAAACACTCTGATTACCATCGGCACTGGACTTACCTTGAGGTTTTAGATAGAGATAATACAGAAAGGAATATAAATGCGATTACCGTTTTTAATTAAATGCTGTTCTTTCAGGCATTGGAAAGATGGATATAGCTCACCTGAGGGGGGATTTGTCCTCCATTTTTCAGCCAGGTGAGCTTCGGGGTGGGTGATCCCGATGCTCTGCAGTACAACCTCAATGTGTCACCTTCTTGGACTTCTGTATTTTGAGGACTGACTTGGACTTGAGGTAGGTTGCCTAGACCGCTAGGGTTAGAGTCTAACCAAAGAATGCAACATGACATTCAAAGACACATATTGTGATCACAGGAAACTGGAATCATCTGTTAACTTAGAAAACCACTCTATTCCTAAACCCGAACATTGTATTTTGTCCCCAGATAGTTGTGAGTCCTCAAAATGTTTCTGTGGAAACATGAAATAAAAAGGCATACACACTTAAACACAGTGCATACTTTGGACAAGGAGAGAAACCCGCGCTGTGTGCTCGCCATGCGTGTTTAGGGCCTTGCAGGTGTAGTCTCCCTCATCAGCCGCGTCCACTGAGGTGAAGATCAGTATGCCACCTCGTATCACTGCTCTCTGACTCATTCGGTTACCTGGACCTCCTGTAGGGATCACACAATTACACTAATGTCACTAATGACAAAATCAAAGCAGTGGGGGTAAGTTTTGTAGATTTCTTTTGCTGGACTAGATTTCCTAGAGACAAACACAACATAGCGGAATCTGGTCTTTCTACTTAAATAACTAGAAATAGCTCAATAAACCCTGCATTAAATAGATTAAGAATGAAATCCAACTTATCATACCAATCCATTCGATGGCAGGGGTTGGGTTTCCAGTTACTGTGCAGTGGAACTCTGCCCTCTGGCCTTGATAGACGTTCAGCACTGAGGGAGTTACAGTGGCCAGAGGCCGGGCCCCCTCTGCAGCTACAGAAGGACACAATTCAGTCAAGCACAGCTCTAAAATCTCGCCAGACCTAACATGGAGAAACAGACCTTCTAAATGAATCATGAATTTTTGTCAGGAGACTACAGCCTCTGCTTGACCATCGGGTTATTTTATTACAAACTGTGGAAATGTTTTTACATGTAAGGGAGTGATCAGACTTAGAGAGAAAGTGATGGCCTGTGCCTCAACCCACTTGGCAGCCTAAATCCCCAGTGCAGACAAAACAGATGAGATGTGGCATGCAGTCCTTGGCAGGGCCTCTGGGTATATTGCTGTCTACGCCAGTTTGGCTAGCTTCTGGACTGTGTATTCGATCCCAGGGTAGCAGACCAAAAGAAAGGGCTCTTTCAGTCGGATGGGAGGAGGCTATGTACTGTAGGCTGAAAACTGGGATTTTTGAAGCCTTGGCTAATCTTTGACTCTCTGACCCCAGTGACACGAACACTCCAGGGCGTTCACTGTGGGACATGAGGCAGGCATGACAGTCTGAACACTGGCTTAGCATCTATGAACTGATTTGATTATGACTATAGATGTATTTTATTATTTGTATTTGTTATGTTTTGTAAATGTCACGTCACAGCAAGAAGGCCGTGGGTATGAATCCTCCGTGTGACCTTTCTATGTGAAGTTTGCATATTCTCCTCATGCTTGCCTGGGTTCTCTCTGGATTCCTCCCACAGTCCAAAGACATGAGGTTTGGCTAACTGGTGATTCTAAATTGTCTGAAGGCGTGAATGTGAATGGTTGTCTGTCTCTGTGTGTTGGCCCACTGACAGACTGGTGACGTGTCTGTCACAGGGCAGACATGGTTGCCCCCCACCCACACATACCTGGATTGGATAAGTGGAACAAAACGGATGGATGGATGTAAATGTCTATGGTAGAATCAGTGCAACATGCAATAACACTTAAAATACCAAAAAAGGAAGAAAACCCACCAAAAAACTACTTCTCACATTATTAACATGGGATCTGTCTTAGCAGTTAGCTTTGGTTTTATCTGCCCAGTTTTTGAGATATAATTCTTCTCATCTTTTTTTACTCTGGTTATACTGTATTACAGTAAAGGTATTTCATTTGCTATTCAAAAAGACTAGCAATATCAGTAGTTCCATTAGTTTGTACTATTTTTTAACTAAATGCCAAGAAACATGTTAACCTGCATGTGTTTAGGAAATATATTGAATAATTTGCTAATTATCACATTTTAAGAAGAGCTCAAAAAGATTGGATGTTTTTATTTAACAAGTTTTAGGGCTATAAAAAATACCTGACACTCTCGGCCTGATGATGGTGCTATGTGAAAGGTTTACTGGTGTTTACAAACAGTTGTGAAAGGATGTGAATATGTGTAGTGCTGCATATTTCATGGCAATCCATAAAGAAGTTGTTGAGGAATTTTATTCAAAAAAACATAAACTGAGCACTGAGTGAGTCTGGAAAATAGTCATGGGAATAAGAGTTATTCTCTGGGCACCACAGATATTATATGGAAATCCATTCTGTTACTCGTTGAGCTAATTCACCTGTGGCCACTGCAGAAAACAACTATCTATAATCACACTAGAATTAAGATACTGCTTTAAGAAACAAATATTTTCTTCATACAGTGTTTGATTGTATGAAGCCACTGCAGTATAGTTTAGCCTAAACACTCACGGTGTTACTTGAAGTACACTTCCATCTGAGTATCTCTTCACACAAATGGAAGTGTGGACTCCAGTCTGCTATGCACATTTAGCTATGATGCAATGGGGTTGTGATGAGATGTATTAAGCACAGTATGATGTTTGAAGCCCAGATGACAGTATAAAAAAAGTTTAGCATGATTCCTGAAACGATAGAGGAAAGTGAAGAGGAAAAGAAGGTAAGGATGAAGTGACATTTCCTATATGACATTCTGTCATATAAAACATGCAAGTACACAACCAGAAAATTAGCTGGACAATTATTATTTTAACAAAACATACTTAATTACTTTGTCCACGTTATATTTCATCTTTTTTGGTCATCTGTAACTAGGACGATAAAGTAACTGAAAGGACTCCAGTGACTGAAAAAAATAGATTTTTAAAAGTCTTTTTCTAAATGATGGAAAGTAGACTCTACATTCACAAGGAGATGCCCATTGGAATGAACATGCACTTTTCCCAGCAGTGATGGATCCAAATGAACCAAAAAAGTCAAGTAGGAACCAGTAACACTCATGTACAATCTTATAAGCCTTAATTCTAAGAAGGACACAAAAAACACATTTTTAGCTCTAAATTCGACTTTTTTGATACTTTTTGAACACCACATAAGAGAGCATGTATGCTCCAGGCTATTATTTATGCAGCGTCTGCAGCTGTTGCTTGGGTGGTTGTACATGGATGTTACCAAATCACTAGCGCATCCATGCTGTGGAAGATTAGAGCATGCATGTAAAGGAGACAGAGAGAGGAGGGTCCTTCTAGGGAACCCTGTAGAAGAAATCATGCTCATGCGGACTTACTATGTCTGCGTCCTTCAAACATTTCATAGGATGTGTAAAACATCTGAGTCTGTGAGGCCTCTGGATATGAGGGAGGGAGGAAGGGATGAAGGGAACAGGTAAACTGACAGGTCAGCTTTCTGAAGTAACGGTGGTTTACCTCGCATCTCCTCAGAGACACTTACATCCGTCCTTGCATGTGAGTCGCCGTAGTTTTTCCCACTCGATTGCAAACATCATCACACACGATGTAAACATGTTAAAAAATCATGGGATTGAATTCAAATGGCACCACTTTGACATTTGTTTTTCCATTTCAGCTTGTGGTTTTTTTAAATTGTTTAAGAATTTGTCACTCGTGGTGCCATTAAATAGCTTCATGCATTCAAATTAATACTTACCTAATACATATTGTGTGAGTCAAGATAGTTTCCGAAATGATGCTTTGAAATGTATCAGTTTTATGCTTATCTAACAATGAGGAAAACCCACTTAGACTTTAAAGTCTGACCACCACATGTGTAACAGACAAAAGAATCATGAAACATACAAACACACAGACACACAGACTCAAAGAGCATCACTATGAGAACTGTTCAGCAACACAAAATTAAGATATACAAAGTAGCCACATGCAGGTTAGTAGCAAGAAGCTGTTTTAAATACAGAAATTTCAGGTGCTAAAAGCCAACATACAGCTTGTGGTCACCCTGAATCTAAAATATATTATAGATGTAAATGAGTGAGGCTGTAAAAAAAAATCTCTTTGTTCTATATGTGATACTTTTAATAACTTTTTTTCTTTTAAACATATTTCACAGTTAATATAAATACATTGTAGTGTACATTACATAATTTTGGTGTGTTTTAAAAAGAAAGTAAAAAAAAGGAGAGTAAATTAAAAAATATATTTAAAAGCACATTTGTGTATACATGCTGACATGTAGCCTTTGAATTAATAAGAATGAAAAATAAAGAAATCTACTCAGTCGACTGAAATAAAGCCAAAAGACAACATTTAAAGTTTAACCTGTGAAATTTAAAAGTATTTTTTTTTAGTAAAAATACTTAAAATTGTGTGAATGTAAACAAACATCTTGCCATGTAACTGTGTCCACGTTGCCTTTTTTAAAGGTTCCTTTAAAAAGCCACCCAAAATCTACATTTCTTATATATTTGATTTCATGAAAACATTCTAGGCTAACAAATTTCAGTCAATCACAGAATCAAAAGCACCAACAACATTGACAAAGTGTAAATAAAAAACATAATATACAATTGTAGTTGATTTAATACATGCTTTTTTCTTTTTCTTCTGCAGGTCAGATGAAAAAGTCAGATATTGAAGTTTTTAACCAACAAAAAATTAGAAGTAGCAATCAATACAAAGGTGGACTAACACTAAAGGAATGAAACATTACTATTACAACAGTACAGCACAGTTCAACAGTAAATTTAAACATAGATTTAACCAACTGTGTGACTAGTAGCACCATTTTGTTCAACAACGTTCATCATCAGGATGGTAAGTGGAGTAACAAAGCAGCCAGTAGTTTCATGAAGGGACACTTTAAAAGTTGGGTAACACAAATACTCAAGAGTAGTAGGACTTCTTCCTATTCATCCTTTACAGTGAAGTCCTAGTTGAATGTCAGTCACAGAGTCACTAAGCACACATCGTGGCATCCGCATTTCCCCTCGTCTTATGCACTACGCTACACACACTACACTTAAGCCAGGGAGGAGCATAGGAGCACACCAGAATCCAGCACCCTGCTAGCAAAATGTTTGGCGGCACCAACAAGAAAATCTATGAGTAATCAGGAAGCAACCAGACCACCACCGATTAATTATGAAAAAATAAACCAAAAAACAAACAAACAAGAAGATAAAAATCAGCAGTAGCTTCATCAGAGTGTTGGCAGAAAGCATTGTCCACAAATCACATCTCCAAAAGAGATATGACCTTTGAGTGCCCATTAGTTAATCTGTATGCTTGCCCATGTATATTGTGTGTTATATCTTATGTTCTACAGTTTCAGTTATTACCAAACCCACAAGCTGTATTTCTTCATATATATTCCAGGAAACCACATTAAGAGACACAAAAGACTGTAAGTTAAAAAAAAGCAGAGAAGAGAGCTGATTGATTGGCAGCATGAGGTCAGACATGTCATATATGTGGTAACTGAGAGCAGAGGGCGAAAGCACTGGGAGTTAGAACTGCAAGCGCTTAGGAAGCTGTTAACCCTGAGCTGAATGTTTACATCACACGGCGTGAAACGAAAAGCATGCACTACTGTAAGACGACGGACTGGGGTAATGTGTGAGGATGAGAAAGTATGGTAGTCACAGCTGGTATGGCAGCAAGGCGTGATGGGTAATGGAATGCGGTGCCAAGGATCACGAACCTGGCACGTAGAGGATGGCTCTGCCCTCGTCCATGCCAAACATGTTGGAACCTGTGCAAATGTAGACACCTGCATCCTCAGGCTGGACATTCTGAATTGTTAGGATGCCGTTAAAGTCCATGGCACGGTTGGGAAGTTTCCCATTGCCGCTTCGAGTCCAGACCAGAGTGTAGGCTGGTGACTGTACGTAAGTTAGCAGATAAACATATATGAATCTCACAGGGTATGCGTCTCCAAAACACTGTCTCAGTGTCTCATAAATAAAGGATGAGCCAGCGTTACCTTGCTCTGTGCAGTACAGATGAATTGGACAGTAGACCCGACCCTTATAGTCTGGGATTTGGGCTCTTCAACGATTACCTGGATAGGTTTGGAAGGGACACCTGGTGACAGGGAGAGTTAGATTACATTGACTGTTTAAAAATACTTCAAGAGGATTTCAGAATGCAACACAAGACACCAATTTAAATTTTCCACAAAGCCCAAATCCTTTTTTTTTCATCATAAAAATCAGTGTTTATTGAACCACAGCTGACATATATTTGGTGTTCTTTAACAGGCAGCATCAGGAAAAACATCTTTCTCTTAATGTGACAGTGATACCCATACACACTTGTGACAACAATTTCAGCGTGGCTCCTGTTAGTGCTGCGCTGGTCTTGGCAGGTGCAGATGTAAACACCGGCATCCTTTGGCTGGACGCTGGTGAAGTACAGCTCGGCTCCTGCACACACAAATTTCGCATTTGCATATATATCATCATTCTACTATACAAGATACGATCATGTCAGTTTCATTTACATTTAGGGTGAAAGGGTTGAATCTTGTACCTTGTCTATGTCTCTCAGCACTGCCGGAGATTGGCTGTCCATCTTCTCTCGACCAGAAGAAATAGTGCGGAGGTGATCCAGACACCTGACACCGCAGAGTGACAGGGTTTCCCTGTGGCACTAGGACTCTCTCTGGATAAATTCTGACTACGAGTGGGGCTGCAACTGGAGGTGCAACGGTCAATATAAACACTCAGGAATTCACTCTGAGAAGAATTTTGTAAGAACAGTCAAAAATTTCATAAATTTCTGAATTATTATGTTTCCTATAGATTTCATGCACAGTTACAGCACAAGGCTTTCATTTATTTTATTGGAAGCATGGAAACGTTACCATCATTTGGACGACACTTCTCTCTTGCCTGTGGGTTTCCAACATATCCAGGAGCACAACTAACAGGCACAGAAAAAAAAACCCCGTCTCACAACAGTCCATGGAAAGCAAAAGCACTTTTACAGAAATTCCAGTAGGTGTATTTTCATAAATGATGCATTTCATCTTATTAAGGTTTTTCTGAAATAAACACATGAGGTATTCTCTCTGAGAGTAGCAGTTATCTTACCGTTCACAGTACTGGCCAGTGTAGCCAGGCTGACAGGCAGTACACTGGTAACCTCCATTTCCAAGGCTCTCACAGGTAGGGGAGAACCTGCATAAGTTACACACAAAGTAAAAGTGTTGGTCTAGAAACTCAGTTAACAAGTAATTGGTGTTTACTTGTAATTTTGACTAGACTTAGGGTCCTTTATGGAAGTTATAGTAGTCTTTAAGACTTTGCCTTTTTACAATTGTTTTTCAAAATTATTATTTTCAACAGATTTGGTATTTCATTGCCATGAAACAGCAAAATTATGTTATGGTAAAGTGAAATGTAAGTGCAAAATCAGACACTTTCATCAGGATAATGAAATACGCAGGATTTGATATAAGGCTGTAGTAAACAGGGTAATGTTTCACCAATACTCCAAAATCTACAAGACAGGGTTAATTGCACTGGACAGTTGTCCTGAGCTATAAATAGAGCTGGAATGTAACGTCTTAATATACGTGCCAGAACTTACTGGTTGTCTGGGTCAGTGTGAGGGCAGGCACATGGCTGGCAGTCTTCTGGAGTGCCAACAGTGGGGTCACCAAAGAAACCAGGAGCACACTGCTCACAGAGCTCACCCTGCGTGTTATGTAGGCAGCTCTGGAAGAAGGCAAATACTCTGTTTAGAGATCTTGTCAGGAAGCTTTAATTCAAAGAAAAATACCAATCATTAGCTGATCTGGTGCTTCGTACTGTACAGATGCCGGTCTCCGGGTGACAGGAGTCAGAGTGACCATTGCATTCACAGAGCTCACAGTGACCCAGGTACAAGCCACCACCGGTGCGGGTATAGCCAGGAGCACAGTCCTAAAAATGACACATACTTGATTTAGGCACAATCAGGTAAAAAGGAAAAAGAAAGAAAAATCTGAGAAATTTATTGAAAAAAATATTGACCTGGCAGGAGAGTCCCTGGTATCCAGGTGGGCATCGGCACTGCTCCACCTCGAGGGCCTGTGCCAAGCCGCTGTAGTTGGGCACAGCAACTTCCATGCTGATGTCAGAGATGCTGGAGGAGCGCATCTCTGTGGAGTAGGATGCTCGAATCAGGATGTCATCGAGATCAGCCAGAACCATCATCAGGTGCTCTCTAGTGGCAATCATGCCATCAGGTCGACGCCAATTTTCCTAGTAGGGAGGAAAAAAAATAGGCTAAAGCAATTGGTGTGCATTATGAATAGATTTTAAGAAAAGTGAGTTTTAGCATGTTCAGCTTCAGGAAGATAAGAAAACAAAGGACAGGCTCAGTCGTGGATGGTTTCACTTCAACAAGCCTAAAATTTTCTGTAGTTTTTTATCTCTATCTATATATATATAACACAGGCCTATAGTAAAAATTAAAAATATATTTAAATTGGAAAAATCTAACTTGTAATTAAATTGGCTTATAAAATAACTTAACGCTATGAACCACTCACCTCTCTGAAGACGATCTCAAATGTATTCATCTCTCTGCCCTGTTGCCTCCGCTGCCAAGGCTGACGGGCTACCAAGGTGATGTCATTACCCTGAAGGAAAAACACAAGCAGGTGAGCAAATCCTCCTAATGCATATAACAATGGTAGAAAACAGCAAACTTCCCAGAGATACTCACAATAATCTGAACGTCAGCATCATCAAGGAGCGTTCCTCTCGGACCAGCCACATAGGAAATGGTATATTTAAGTTTTCCACCATAGGACCCCACCTAAAGCGTGAAATTTAATGTCAGGTTAATGAGTGCTGCAGTTCTCAAGATAAAAGAGAAATGTGAAACACATTGGTGGCTTCTGAAAGTGAGTTTTTACTGACAACAAGTCCTTTGATAGGAGGATGTAAAGGTGTAAACTGATTTTTTTCCAACATGTGAGCATCTTTACATTTTGCAGAGTTGTAAATACATGTAAAAGTGCATTCCCTGAATTTTATCCATGGGAAGGATGTCTAATGGCTTCTGTGATTGTGAAGGTTATTTTTTCCAAGGCCATTAACAAAGAAAGATACCATCAACTTGCTTTATGTATGCTTTTGAAGCCGGAGGCCATAGCAAAGAATGAAAGTCATGACATTGCTGCATCTGCTGCTTTTGTCTCATGTGAGACGTATACTGCCACGCATGTTTTCATCACTTCATCACTTAATTAAGAGAAAATCTAATAACATGATCTCTGACCTTTGCATTACATCTCACTTTACAAAAAGCCAAGCAGTTAAAACTCCAATCATAACATGGCAAAAAGCCCTCACATTTTAATACATAGGAGGAATGTAGGACAGGAAATCAAGAAGCTACACTGAAGGGAAAGGGTGGGGGACAACTGGAAAACTATGGGCATAGGTTTTGTGGACAGGTATGTAGGAATGCTTGAGGATAATAGGAGTGCAATATTTTATGTGACCTCTAAGGGGATGACCAGGAGCGAGCCACGTTTTCACAATTACCTTATCCCCTGTGAACTGCCCTGGAAGCTGCCAGTAGAGCAGACCATCCTGGTGCAAGTTGAAACCTTTGTAGACCAGAAAGTACTGAGAGGCAAAGGAGGAAGGAGAATAAGCCACAGGAAGCGAGCGAGAGTTAAGCAGCAAGATGAAATCACAAGCAAGCAAGCAAGAATTCCAGAAAGTATGCCTGGGAAGTATCGGGGACAAACATAACATGTAACTAAACACTTTGAAGTAGATGTTTTCACGTAGGAGTTTCATTGCTGCCAATCGATAACAGCAGAGCACTTGCACTGTGCCTTGCCTGACAACTAAAACAGCAACTTGCACAGTCAGTAATACGGCAATGACAGCTTAACAAGTGCCTCAATTAGATGGGGATCTAAACCAGACAACAGCATAATGACAGGCCATTATAAAAACCAGTGTTAAGTGGAGAATTACAGTGCACACTGTGACAGCAATGAGTGGGAGTGATTTGCTTAACAACAAAAAATACCTCCATTCCAATTAATCACTAGAATTAAGTCAACTACCCATTCTCTAGTGTTTATGAACTACATGCATTATATTCAGCATTAATGTCGCAAATTATAATTAAGTTTTATTTTAAATATCTGGAAAAAAACAACCCTCAACAAATAAAAAAAGAAAGTTGTTAATTAACTTTAAAGGTTTAAGATTATAATGTACATGAAGTTAGTCACTCAGTCATTCCACTATCTACCTTGCTGGTCCCACCAGTCGTACTATAAGTCTTGCTCACTGTGTTCTTGCTCTGCTGATTCACGGGAGAACCAGGCCCCAAAAAGAAATGCAAGACATCAACATAAGGGTTGCGAAAAATAAACGAAACCTCTTGCAATCTCTGACAGAGTGTACCTGGAGATGAGGAGCATGTCCTGGGGAGTAAGGTTGGGGTCGAGTTGGTCTAACTGAAGCGATACCAGATGGGGAGGGTGGGGGACTCGGGTTACGCAAAGACCAGCGAGAATGAGAGGAAGACGAAGAGGAAGTCGAGACTCGGGAAGTATAGGGAGAAGAGTACGGAGGAAAGGAGGAGGATTTATAGGAGGGAAAAAATGGAGGAGAACCAGCTTGCCCATTGGAGAAATTAGAGAGAAGTGCCCAGACTTCATCATCCAGCTCTCTGACAGCACCCTGAGGGGAAAGTGGTGTACCAGAGACAGGTAATAGGTAACCTGATATATACCCACTCCAAGAGAAGGGGGACCTACCATGGAAACCTTGCTTGACCATCAATAAAAGTGACAAAGTTTATTTAGAAACACCAGGTTATACATGCAATCAGTTTTTATATAGTTACTGTAGATGCTGCCCATGATAGGCTCATTCTATTATTTCCATTCAAACAATGTAGTCACACCAACAAAACACTTAAAAAGTTCTTTCACGTAAGAAACTAAGATTTTGCTATTCATGCCAGAGTTCTCTATAACTCACTCACATGCACACACGCTCATATCTGACGATGTGCTTCTGCTCAGTCCCACTTCATCAAACCCAAGTGTTCATGCTGCTACATCTAATAACCAAGATGATGTTGTTACTTCTATAGATGTCCACAAAAACACTGTGCATCACTTATTCTTGTTAGACAAACGAGTTTTACATTCTCCGATCTACAGTGCAGGTCACACCAAATACCTGACTAGCTCTTTTGGTTCTGTGGGTGTCTTTACGTTGAGTGGCCATTAGGTTCCAGATGGAAGCATCTTTCCTTAGCTGCTCCTCTGGCAAATATGAATCACTCTATTGATGTGGATAAAGTAAGCTCTTTGATCACTTTGCTCACCACTGAGCTGATGGTATTTGCAAGTGTTATGGCAGTGTTATTCCAGTAAAAGTTAAAGTTTATGAAGCTCTTTAATGGACCATTAATGATCAATCCACAAGGCTTATATCATGTGAAGCAGAAAGCGATGTGGAATATGGACTTTGATAAAAGTGGGTAACTCTAAGGGGCCTTTGTTTGCCACCTTCAGCTGCAAAATGCATGCACAGCTGTAAAAATGGCATGCATCTAATAAATAACTGTGCCAGTATAGATAAATGATCACAGAACTTTTCAGTGCATATTCACGATATATGCATAACATGATAATTATTATTATTGTACATCAACCAGCGTATTTCAAATGCAGTACAGTTACTTGAAACATGCCAGATAACACTGCACTTCAGAAAAAAATCACCAGATTTTATATGATCTAATAGCAATCACAACATACAACAACTTTATACCTGATCTTTTCGTTTCACACGAGCAAAATGAGAATTTTTCTATAGAGCGTGGAGAGGGAGACAAACACAAAGAACAAGCTACAGTATGTGAGTCGTCACTGGGGCCATCAAATCTATACAAATTATTTTGCCAATATAAATGCTGTTCAGATTTAAAAGATGAAACCACTGCAGGAATGAAGGAAAAGAAATCACGCAAAGATTGATAAACAAGTTCACTCTAAAAGGACTGGCTGAAGCTTGAAGTAAGAAAAAGCAGCAAAAGGGAGAAAATAGTTGAGTAGGATGGTCTAGTTGTTTCTGATGTGTGCTGCTGAGCATGTTTATATGCAGCATGGGGGTGTTTTAACTGTTGTATCTGTGGTATATTCTTTTTAATACTGACCTTATCACCCTGGTAAACTCCTGGAAGCTGCCAGTAGTGAGGCTCCTGTCCCAGGTAGTCAAAGTTACTGTAGGACAGCTGAGTGCCTTCATTGGAAATCTCTACAGTGAAACCAGTGGAAATGCGACTGGTGCGCTGACGGTTGACCAGAGCGAATCCCTGGAAGTTCCCTGGAGAAAAGACTGAGGACACCTACAAAGCAAATTTAAGTATACAAGCCACTAAATAATGCAGTACCACTTAAAAAACATTAATAAATAAGGTGCTTAAAAGAAAAATATTTTGCATTTCCTCATTTTTTAATCGCAAAGTTTTAAAGTGATAAAAGACGCTCCTATTAAACATTCCCACAGATAAGTAATCTCTTTGATCCAAATGCTCAGAGTTCAGACGGTTTTAAACGCTCCACTTCAAACACATTTTTACACTTTCAGATCAGCGAAAGTTGATACCCCTAATATGGTGATGTCATATTCTCATATTCTGGCTGTGAGCACAGAACACCCTTCCACCATGTGCTGAAATCTTTCATTTCCAAGAGGCAGAAAATCAGAAAAAAAAACTTTGCTAAAAGGAAGGGAGAAGCAGACTAACAGGCTTGATACAGACTGCATGAGACTTGAAGGTCTTCTTGCACATGAATAATGAAAGTGCAGGGTTTAATAGAGACCCACTACAAAAGATACATTAAAAAAGGTACCAATGAAGAAAGCAAAATGGGGGAAGTTGCAATAATGAAAAAAAACAGGAACCTTTCTGTCACTCAATTGTTTATTTGTTACTTAATTACTTTGGTGTAGTATGAATGACGGAGGTCTTTATCAGCAGGAAACACTGTAAAACTTATGATAATACAGTTAAAAGTCCAAGATTTATGCCCTCCATCACATTTTCTAACGCTGCCCAGTAGGCCATATTGGAGTCTTTGCTGGGCCTTGACCCTATCTGTTTTTGTATTTTTACTATTATTTAAAGTCTTACCAGATCTCTGTAGTAGGTTGAGCTGGAGCACTGCTGAGTGACACCCATACAGAAGCAGGACAGGCAGCCATCTTTGTTTTCTTGGCTCAGATGGAAGGCCCCAGTCTTACAGGTGGAGCAATACTGGCCTTCAACGTTCATCTACACCAGCATCAGAGGAAAAAGATACAAGCAGCCCATGCTATAATATTCAGAAGGTGAAAATACCTAAGGAATTAATGCAAACATGAAGTGACGGTGTCTGATCACCTTGCAGTTGCACACACCACTATTGCAGCTTTCATGCCCTCTTTGGTCACAGTTATAGCACTCTGTCACACGGCAGAAAGGTAGAAGATTACAGTAAGTTCTGTATTGAATAGTATCTTTGCAACTTGTATTTTCCTTATAAAAATAAGGCACAGATTTGTTATTTTTCTAGATCAAAATACTGAATTTACCATCACGTCCATTGCCAACTTTACAGCTCTGTCCAAGCATTGGATTACCAGTGTATCCTGGAGCACATCTGAAATAAAAATAGATAGTTAAAGTAAATATTTCCAGTCAAGAAGGATGCAAAAAGTATTAACCTGAAGAACAATGGGGCAGGAAGCTGGGAAGCCTGCTAGAAGAGATAAATTTGATGAATAATGTCCTTTAAGGCATCTTCTTGACCCAAAACTGACCTCAGCAAGAAACAAAGGACTGAGTGACTCAGACAAGAAACACATGTACCATTCTGTTACTCCATTCAGCAAGTATACACATCTACACAGACAGCTAGCATTACATCAACATGAACCAAATCACCCAGCTTTTCCGCTGTATACTAACAGGTTTTAAACACTGCCTGCACTGGAGATGGATGAAGCACAGCCTCTGATAAAACTTTCAACATGTCTCAGATGTTGATCCCATCTCTCACAGGAGTGTTGTACAGCTGAAAATGAGAAATCTCTTTTTCAAATGAACAGAAACACTACAATTTATAGAAAACCAGAAAAAAATGATCAAGATGAAAACAATTATTAATCTAAACTCATGTGACAACAAAGAAAGCAGAGGTAGGAATAGTAGCTACTAGGAATAGATAAAAGAGAAGATGCTAAGGCAGAAGAAAGTGATCATTTTTGATAGTGCGACAAAGAAAAGCAAAGCACCATCAGCTCAAGCATACATTGGCACTGTCACCCAGCTCATCCAAACCCGATTTGTGCAGGGACGACTGCTGTCAGTCTTACCTCACCTATCCTCTGGCAGTTCCATAGGTCAACAGCCAAGAAAGCAGACTTCCATGCTATAAACTTGTTTTCAGAAACACTATTCAAACTGTCTACTGGGACTTCAAGAACTTTCCAAAAGGAGTTAACTTAATCTTGTTTTACAGACATCATAATAACAAAAATCAACATACAGTACATCGAAATTGTCATACTGAAAGAACATCATATGGAAATTATAAAAATATAAAACGCAAAGCACAATCTCCAAAAGCAGAAAGCAACACTCATTTTTTTACATGACAATATTAAAATTTTGCCCTTGGATTCTTTTTTTTTATGTCCAAAGCCTTGGACTGCAGAGGAACATTTAGGGGTCAAATTTGAGGTAGCATGCCCATAATGAAGTGAACAAAGTACACATATGAAAGGTTCACATGCTAAGCAATCTCTTCATAGCGGAATTGTGTGCAATAGTTCTGACAGTACTTTGCCACATAATACACTTAAAAATATGTAAGCATCTGCATTAAAGACTAAAGGAATAATACACTAAAGGTATCAAATGCAGGACTTGTTGGTTACTGTTTGCAAAAAAACCAAAAAGAACAAAGCAAAAACAAAGCATTGTCCCTTTAAAATCGGCCCCTCTTTATGACTCGACAAGTAAGAGGGAGAGGAATTTTGCTTCAAGCTGTCCCCTGTGGTCTCTGCTCTGTGTGAGCAGCACAGCTCAGCCGTCAAACACACACAGAGAGCAGAGGACAGAACATTTTTAAAGATATCCACTGTGACTAACCTGCAATTTGTTTTTGGTTTGGGATAAAAGTTGCAGCTTAGAAATGTAGCAAACACAGCAGAATAAGAGGGGAGAGAAGAAATGACAAAAAATGGTTGGGTTTCTGCAGAGGAAAACATCCCCCCCAAACACTTTTGTATTAGTCTATACTGTAAACGCATAGTATACCTTTAATAAATTAAAAGTCACTGTAAAATACTGTAAGTACTGTAATATTTGTGCCTTCATTATATTCCATTGATATGATTGTAGTATATATAAATAGGACCAAGATCAGAGAAATAAAAAAAAAATAACTGAAAAAAAATTATACAACAACAACATATTTTCTAGTCATCAGGGATAATTTTGATGGGAATGGCCAGCTTTCCCAAGACAATATGTAGAGAACCTTCTTGATTCCTGCTCTGCTTAGCAGATTTAGAATCTCCATTTAGAAGCCTCAGCAGGTCCAAAACTCCAGATTCAAAATATTTTTTCTTTTTATGTTGGTGTTTTTTAGTGTTTTTCTTCCTAGCAACAGCCTTGGATTTAGTGGGACTTGATGTCCTTTTTATCGTTATGTTCGACTTCTTCTTTGGAGAGGTAGCGTTGATTTGAGCAAGAGTTGTCCTTCTTACTGTTGTTTTAGGTTTCTTGGCTGTAGTAGCCTTAACAGTCTTTGTGGCTGTCACTGTGACCTTGGTTGAATTTTTCGTTTTGTGAGAGGGCAACTTATGAGCAAACTTGTGCTCAGTCTTTTTCTTATCTGGGTTAGAGCTACCTTTGTGAGGCTTTGGCAATTTCTTTGAATCATCTTCTGAAGTTTTCACACTCTCCGGAGCCTTCTTTGTTGCATCTGCTATCACTGTCTTTTTACGGCCATTGTTTATGTTAAGTAGAGCTGGATCCTTTTTATTGGCCCGATCAGACTGTTTTTGCAGCTGAGGGATTTTAGCAGGCTTTGAGTTGTGAGGTGGTGGGTCCACTTGAAATTTTGTGATTGTTGCCTCTTCTTTAACTTCCTTTAGTTTTGTTTGCCTTGGCTGTGAATTATGTTTTGGTGTCACAGCAGCCCTCCTGCCCTCCAGCTTTTTTGTTTGAGGCTTCACTACAGTTTGAGGTGTAGACTCTGAGTTAGTGTTAGGTTTACTTTGGCTGGTCTTCAACCTGACTGTTGATCTTGCTGAAGACTGATTTTTGAATGACCTATTGACTGATTGGAGGTTTGTTGTGTTTTTCACTGATTGGACTTTTCTATCTGTCTTAGGAGCAGATTTGTGTTTGTTTGAGAGGAGACCTGGAGTCGGTATGCTTTTGGGAACAGTGGCTTTACTAGTGAGAGACATTTTAGTAGGTATAACTCTGACCTGAGGCTGAGGTGTTGAGTGCAATGGGACCGCAATGACAGTTGTGAGTGAAGGCAGAACCCTTTTTTCTTGGAGTGAACGGGAAATGTGTCTTGTACGTTTCATCTTGTTCATCTCCTGAGCCAGGGCTGTGAAACCATCTATTAGGATCTCTAACCGCCCCTCTAGTCTGCTCAGACGAGCCTCCATTTCTGTGTAGCTCTTTTCCAGCTCGCTAACTTTCTTGTTCTTCTCTGAGGCTGTCTGCAGACTGATAACGTCTTTCAGCTGGGAGCTGAGAAGACTCTGCTGTTTCTCCATACTATGAATGCTGTCCTTCATATCAAGCGTGTTGCTTTCCAGCATGGTCAGTCGTCGGTTAAAGGAGTTCAGGTGAAGCCGGAGAAGTTGCTGGAAGCTTGACTGTCTGCGCTCTGGGCTTGGAGTGAAGCGTGGTGGGAGTCTGGACACTAACTTTTTGGGGGTGACTGAAACAACGCCCACCCCAATTATTTTTGTTGATTGAGTTCTGTGATGCTGTGATGCAGTAGACAATAAAGCCCTAGTAGGGATAATAGTAGTAACAGGCCTAGGATTTTCACTGTCATCATCTCCACTGCCGTTTAGTTCTAATTCTTTATCCCAGTTGAAATTGAATATTGTTTCAGATCCACATCCCATAGGCAGGGAGCCCTCTGTGTGCTTCTCCAGGAATGGGTCCCCACAACTGTCTGCAGATGGCATCTCTTCTCTTAATATCAAAATAGCAAAATCAGGCAGGGATACAGGCAGGGACTTCATATCATAGTAAATGACAAGATGCGCTGTGTACCCAAGTCACCTTTTCATCTTTGCCATTGGGGTGGCAAAGATTCATTAGCCAGACAGTCCACATAAATGCCACATCTACATTTATGACCAAAACAACTGATCTGTGCAGAAATCACATTAGCCAGCACCTACAATGTGTTTCTATCAGCCAAGCAAAAAGGTGAAGCAGAAGGCAACCTTTGAAAAAGGCTTCTGGAGATAATGTAAAAGGAGAAGAAAGCAAAAGTAAGATATACAGAGGGAAAAAAGTCTATTTCCAAACTGTTAGTTCTCCTTCAGCATATTTCTTTTCTATAAAAAAAAAAAAATCTAATCTGACTGATGGCATCCTCGTTACCAACGAAGGGAACTTAGCCAACAACAAAGACACAGCATTGTGCCACAGGAGAAATAACCTTAGTGGTCTGTGTCGCATGTGGGACGAAGAAAACTACTAGTAGCAGCAGAAATAACTTCACAATCTGCAAATCAAAACACCCACAATACAACACTGAGAACCACCAGCAGCTCTGTGAGGACACAGTACAAAACCTTAAAGATATATTAGAGATCCCATCCCTCCTTTGATATACTTCAGCTACAAAAACCATGAAAAAAAGGGAAATTTGAACCACAGACATGCTTATATCCCTCTCCTGTGAATGAAATCAGTCTGTGCTACTGCCAGCCCCTGGAAACCTTTCTGCCGGCCAGCCAGGTAACCCCAAACACTGAGCAGTGCTTAGACAACCCTGAGAGGAAGACAAAGAGAAAAATAGAGAGATGAGAAATAGAAGAGGAGCAACGTACCTTTCACAGCGTCGGCCAGTGAATCCAAGAGGACAGTTGTCACAGGTCGGCTGGCCGTCAGAATCCAGATAGCAGGTCGTGGAGAATCTGTTTGAAAAAACAAAGATGACGATTGAGAATGATCCTGCCCTGCACACAGTTTACTTTAGCATGAAAAAGAACAAAAAAGTAAACTGAAAATGATTTCTGACATAAACTTACTGGTTATTAGAAGAGATTCCAGGGCAGGAGCAGGGCTTACAGGCCTGAGCACCACCCGTGACAGGGTCTCCATAGAAACCATTTTGACAGCGCTCACATCTTGAGCCAGCAGTGTTATGGAGACATTGCTTTAGGTCAGGAAACACATAAAAAAGGGGTGTGATCCATGGAACAGTTGAAGATATGGCACTTAGGTAGCCACATGTTGGGATTTGCCAAGAAATAATTTGCACATTCCGTGTCAGAGATCAAAGACGGCTCAGCACTGACAAAGGCTACAGAGAGGGGAAGAGCAGCACAGAACCTACCAGACACCTGCCGGTCTCCGGGTCACAGCTGCTGGCGTGACCGTTACAATCACACCTCCCACATGTGCCCAGGTAAAGCCCAGAGGTAGTCCGCGTATACCCTTCGTCACATTCCTGCAGAATGGAAAAAAATGGAAAAGCACCTCAGGTGAGAGACAAGTGATGACAAACAGGAAAATGTCTTTGTTCCACTGCCGGAGCGAGACAGACTGCAATTATCGCCAAGCAGTATTATGGAAAAAATTAAGAGACTTTATTTCTAGCAAGCTTAGACACATCTGTGGTGCCTTTGCTTTCTTTCCTTTGTCAGAATAACTTCAGTAAAATCGAAGGTTGCAAAGTTGCTCGTACCAATTCAAAACAGCAGTTTGAATTATCAGAAGATGGAGTTTGCAGTTTCACATAGAACGGACTACAGAAGCTTGAAGCTAAGCTAGCCTCAGATGAACAACCATCAATGTTTAACATCCTGTTATTCTTGCTTTGATACATTAAACTGATTTAACTGGCAGCTATAGTTCACTTGAGGGAAAATATTTCCTGTGCAAAACTACATGTATAAATAATTATTGATTTATTTATAAAGAGACATTAGTGCAGATTTTTTTCATTTTCCATTACTTTAAAAACTCCAAAGCAAAAATGCCTCTTTCTGTACAACTAATAACAATGAATAGAATCATAAATCAATAATCATTAGTTGCAGCTATTAAGTTTTTGTCATCTCATCTAGAATAATCTAGACTACTCTCCTCATGTGTACCTGGCAAGATGGTCCTCTGTATCCTTGAGGGCAGGCGCACTCTTCCACCTCCAGAGCACGTTCATACCCAGTTGAGTGAGGAACAGCAATGTCCATCTGGATATCTGAGACACTAAATCACGCATAAAAAAGACATGTGAAGCAGTGTGATCCTCTCGGATTAATATGTGATTTGTGAAACTTTTCCACACTCTTTGAGGAACCTCCCAGCATACCTGCTCTCAGCCAAATTGTCGGCATAGCTGGCTCTGATCATGAAGACAGCAACGTCTGCCAGCGCCATCAGTAGGTGCTCACGAGTACACGGCTGTCCGTCAGCACGACGCCATTCAGACTGTCAGCCAGAGAAAAACAATTAAGCGAAAGTGAAATGTTGATGAGGATTTAGGTTTAGCTAAACTCCCAAAAAACACTGAAACACACCTCTCGGAAGGTCACAGTGACAATTTGTGGGAGACGTGGGAGCGGTCTGGTTTGAGCGTAGTGTTCCAGGAAGATTCCATTGCCTTGGAGAACCACATCTGGCTGACCATCAATCACAAGAGAGCGCTGAAATGGTTCAAAGCTCACTGTGTAGCGAAGCTCTCCGCCATAAGCTGTCACCTGGTAGCAACATGTTGAAAACAAATGCTCATTCGAATCAAATTAGTTTTATTCGTGTAGTGCCAAATCATAACATAGGTCATCTAAGAGCACTTTACATAGTAATATCAAGACATTACAATACAGAGGCAGCACGGTGGCACGGTGGTTAGCACCGTTGCCGCACAGCAAGAAGGTCCTGAGTTCAAATTCCAACATCAGGCCGGGGTCTTTCTGTGTGGAGTTTGCATGTTCTCCGTGTGTTCGCGTGGGTTCTCTCCGGGTACTCCGGCTTCCTCCCACCGTCCAAAGACATGCAGCTTGTGGGGATAGGTTAATTGGATAATCTAAATTGTCACTAGGTGTGAATGTGTGAATGAATGTGAGTGCGAATGGTTGTCTGTCCCTGTGTGTTGGCCCTGCGACAGACTGGCGACCTGTCCAGGGTGTACCCCGCCTCTCGCCCTATGACAGCTGGGATAGGCTCCAGCGCCCCCCGCAACCCTGAAAAGGATAAGCGGAAGCGAATGGATGGATGGACAATACAGAGAGAAGCACAAATTTCCTTTGAGCAAGTGTTTGGAGACAGCCGAGAGACATCATCAGTTTTAAACAGAAAGAAACTCCCAGCAGAAACAGATTAGTGAAGTATGGCCATCTGCTTTGAAAAGGTGAGCATTTCAACAAACTGAATAGTGGAAAGGTATTTAACCCCTCCGATACTGTGAGGGGAGTCACAAGACATCCTTGACTGGCTTTGACTCGAAGGTCCAAAAGAGCCTCAATGCATGGATAAAGGCAGCCTTCTTACTTGACAACATAGAAATCAGAAAACAGAAATCACCTTAAACATGCATGATTTTTTCCTTGTTCCCTGCCTGCTACTCACTTGGTTGTTGTTTTGTTAGTTTTCCTCACCTTATCTCCCCTGAAGTTCTCAGGCAGGACCCAGTAGTAGATGTCATTAGGGAGACTCGAGAAGAAACGGTAGACAACTTCAGAGGAGCCCCTTTGTGAGATGCCTTCAGTGATGGTATTAGTGTTGGCACTATTGGAGAGGGAGAAGAGTTGCCCGTTTACGCCGCCCCGCACCTGAGAGATGCAGAAACAAGTCTGACTGAAGCGTTTGCACATTGCTTATAACTAGAAACAATCTAGAACCTGAAAAGATTTGCTGATACAGCATTAGTGAGCAAACACTGAGTGACATCATGGTGCCAAATATATGTGCTCCTTCTTTTTCCATTCAGAGCTTGGCAGCCCACCTGTTCTCTATTCCAAGTGGAGCTGGAACACTGTTTGGTGACGCCCATACAGAAACACTGTAGACAGCCTTCAGCGTTGGACCCTGATAGGTGGAAGAACCCAGGCTTGCACTCGTCACACAGAGCGCCTGCCACATTGTTCTGCAACGTAGGCAAAGAAGCAAATAAACAAACACAGTCACATATGTGGCCCATGTGCCTGTCAAGCCCTTCAATCCTTTGATAAAAAATGGCAGCAGAAAAACTCAGCCTTGCAGATTTATAACAACTGACGATTTAAATGTTTACCATACTGCAGCCATACCTTACAGCTGCATGGCCCGCTGCTGGAGCTGACAATTCCTCTCTCATCACACTTGGTAGATGGGTTTGCTGCAGGGACAGAGCAGTGGAAAGATCACATATGGAGAAGAAAGTCCACCTGGGAGGGTTCCAGCCACCCTGCACACCTAAGCCATGACCACACACTACAATCTACTGTAACCCCAGGAGGGAAAAACTGATGGGAATCATTGCACAAGATTTAGATCTTCTTGTGATCATATGGCTGGATAACTGACTAGTTCAACAAGCCAAACAATAATGTAAAGGTATTTGGATTTCTTTAATGTAAGTGTACTCACAGACAGGGACACATTTTCCATTAGGCAGAAGAGGGTTACCCTGATAACCAGGAGCACACCTGGAAAAAAAAACAGACAGAGATATAGTAGATATCAAAGTGTAGTTAATTTTAATTTTAAATACATTTGGCATATTTGAGAAACCACCTGTATAATATTGCACCATACAATACAACAGTCATTGTCGCAAACAGCCCCAAGTGAGTCGTACAGCTTAATTCATATCCGTACAGGTTCTTAATTACGCTCAGCGATAAGGTACAGGTAATGATATACGTTTCCTCACTTTTCACAGCGTCTTCCTGTATAGCCGGGCCTGCATGCGTCACATGTTGGCTGTTGGTCAATGTTCAGGAAGCAGGTGTCAGAGAACCTACAAGGTCCGCAGAAAGAATAATGAATCAAAATCTAGGAGCTGCAGTTTAATGAGTAGCATGTGAAATGCATAAAACAGTATTCTCGTATCTGAATGAGCTCAGTTTGAGTAGTGAGAAAGCTCAGTTTATTTACCAATGAAACCTTGTTTGAAGACTGTTTCCGCATGCATTAGTCTTCCATATTGTACTGTAGATGTGTTTGAGCATTTGTCTGTGACCTTACCGTCGTGATGTCTCAGTGTACGGGCAAGGGCAGGGCTTGCAGTCATCAGGGCGGCCTCGGCTTGGGTCGCCAAAGTAGCCAGAACGACACTTGTCACACTGAGGGCCCTCTGTGTTGTGCTGGCAGCTCTGTGGTTAGGAGAACACACAGTCAATTCACTCACACAGATGTCACTCAAAGTATATTTAACATTTTCGAGAATATTTTGGGTTTTTCTATTGTTGAGAATTCAATGAGAAGAGTGATACCATTGTTAATGACTCTACCAATAAACCTGGACCCAAGCATGCATGCAAGACTGGAATCATGGGGAAATGTGGGGTGTTTTTTATATCATAACTAGCAAGTTTGGGTTTTGCAGTGAATAATATGCTGGAACTGTTTCTTAGCCTTTTTGCTCCATTATGCATCCACCATGAAACCAACTTCTGACTATTTTCCTGTTTGAATCAAAAGGTGTTACTTGCATATGTGCTGGTAGTGAGGCTCTATAAGCCTTTAAAAAGGACTAAACAACCTATTTTGTCCTGCTTTTGTTTTTTAACCTGGGCTAAACAAATCATCCTCTAATGCAGACACAATTGTCTGACTCATTTTTTTTTTTGTTTTGGGGTTTTTTACCAGACATTGTCCGCTGATTGGATCACAGGCAGTAGCATGTCCATTACAATTACAACCAGCACAGGTTCCCAGATACAAGCCACCAGGAACACGCTCGAAACCAGCAGAGCACATCTCACAAGACAGGCCTGTGTATCCAGGAGGACATCTGGGAAAGATTAAAATACAAATGATCAAGCATTGCTTTCATAATGAAACTATGATGAGGCAAATTACAACACTTTGCGGTAAATAGAAAACAGCTGACTGAAAAACAGACTTTTTGTTGTTCTTGTTGCATTAGACACAAAGGAGACTGAGATGAAACTATTATAAATAATCACCAAAGTATAAATATAAAATTAGCCCTTGTGATGAAATAATCCATTTATTACTGTATTGTGCTCTTTACACTACATGTGTACACACTGGAGAAACCCAACAGACTGGGCGTTTCCTCCTTCTCACTTAACGCACCTGCATTCTTCAACGTCCTTAGCATGACCCAAAACGCTGAACTCCACAGTCGTGGTATCCATGACAATGTCACTGAGTGCCACACTGACCATGTGGTTATCATAGTTGGTGCGGATGCTGATGCTTTCCAGGTTGGCCAAGGTCATCATCAGCTCATCTCGGGTCACAGAACGACCACTGGAGTGCTGCCAGTTGTCCTAAAAATGTAACAATTAGGTTAACTAACATAATGCATGTGGAAGTGCTTAATTCATCTTACTTTTGATCATTATTAGATTATTACTCCGTCATGACCTATAAAATCTTTCTACATTTTCAAAAACACATATAATCATTACATCATTACAAAGTTACCACAGGATTGTGCAGAATATGAACCAGAGCCCTTACTTCAGTGAATCTGATCTCCTTTTGGTTGACCACATTGGGAGGGGTGCCATTGCCTCTGCGGTACACAAGCCTGCGCCCATTTCCAACCAGCGTCACATCTGGCTTCTCCACAGACTCGGACAATCCGCGTGCTAGTGTGTACCGCACCTTAAACTTCAATGATCCTCCATAGGAATCGATCTAAAACAAATGGAATGATTAACACGAATAAGCGTGTCAATTAAAATGAGACTTGTGAATTATTTTCTCCTTACTTTATTGCCCAGGAACTGGCGAGGCAAGGTCCAGAAGGAGTCGAGGTTAAGGAAACGACGTGAGAGGTCGACAAGCTGGAACTCTTCCATCTCCGGGTTAATAAGGAGCTGAGTGGAGGAAAGAGGAGGAGTACCAGGCCTCGATGGGTAGGTAACGTTCACTCCTGGAATTGACAAGTTCAGATTTATTTTATGTTAGCTCTTAATGTTAGGAATAAAAGTTTGAAAGGTATTTCAGCTGACAGTTTATCTGTTCTGTCAGCTTAAACCATACGCATATGGATTAAAAGCTTTTTTTGCCTTTGAAGTTTTCCTCCTCTGTGAACCGCAGACTGATATGGTTGCGATAACGTCCAGTGCTCTTGCAATTTTTAGAGATTCCACCGCAGAAGCAGGACAAACAGCGGCCATTCACGCTAAAGTGACCATCAGGACAGTTGCCTGGAAAGAACAAGTGGATATAACTTATCTACAGTTATCCTACAGTTTCCAAGGTACATAACTTAATGTTTGTTGTTAAAACTGTAGTCACGTTGACGCTGGGCCCAAGGGATGTGTCCGTACCTTGGTTTGGATTTGAAATAAGAGTTAACACTCCATCTGGGATGCCAAACACCAAGCCTTTAGCATTAATGGCCTCGCATGTGTACGCCCCCTGATCTGACTCCTTCACATCACGAATAATGAGGGTCCCACGGCCATTATCACTGGTCACGGTAATCCTGAGAATAGAGAAATAAAACACCATTGGAATAAGATAAAAAGCTTTCCTTTACATCTCACTGTTACAGTCTTAGAAAACATTGTTACACAAAAACCCATCAATTTTAAATGTAATTGCCCAAACCACACATGCAGTCGTCTACGCCTAGAGTGAACATTTCGAAACGGCAACATCTGGAGCTGGAGTACACCACAAATATTCGGGTAATTACAATCATGGGCCTAAAGATGAAGAGTCAAAGCTGAGACGATCAGCTACACTGTCAACAGCCTCCTCACCTGAAACTGTATCACAGAGGAAAATACCTTCACAGAGATTTTCAAATCTTCAGCGACTACTGCAGATGACTTCTAGCTTTTATCAGATATCAGATTGGAAACAGATTGACTAAAAAATAACATTAACAAACTCCAATTCATAGATATTTTAGGCCATTTTGACTGTGTTTTCTCCAAACTTTGAATTATCAGAGGTTAAGAGTTTCTGAATGTGTACACTAAATTAGGTTTGATTATAGACCTGATGAACAAAAAGCACAGAGGTGGTGAATTTCCTATCAAACCCACCTGTTGCTGGTAGGAATGTGTCCCCAGTTGAGTCTCCAGGTGATAATGGGTGTTGGCACTCCAACAGCTTGACAGGTGAATGTTACTGTGGCTCCCCGTGCAACCTGAACTGACTCTTCTGGGGGGCTTGTTACAGCAGGAGGGGCTGTGAGGAGTCAAAAAGGACAAAAAACCAAAAAATAAATGCACATTTACAAAACAGCTGGCATGTCACTGGAATTTGGCGAGTGAAGCTCATAAAGGCCGAGGAAGTCAAATTCTCTGCTATGGACAGACAATTTTCTTTTAGTTCAGGGATGGAGGGCTCACAAAAGCCCTGTGTTTCACTGAATACATGTGAAAAAAGCCTGTTTCACAGAAAATTAGGCAAAGTGTACAAAGGAGGCAATATACAGAGTAGTGTCAGAGAAGTGATTTGCATGAAAATATGAAAGAAAGCAGTTGAATGTGTATGAGAATGAGTCTATTAACAGGCAGATGTGGACAGGCACTGGAGTGAGACTTACTGCAGCCATACTCATCGGAGCGGTCTTCACAGTCTGGCTCTTCATCACACTGGTAACTAGCTGGGATACATTTGTTATCACTCAGGCATTCAAACTGCTCAGGAGCACACCTGTCATCGGGGCCCTTGGAGGCTGCAGTGATGACAAGATGAAAAGTAATAGCAAATTTATATCCCTTCACAACATAAACAGCAGCTTTGAATCAAGGTCAGAAAGGCTCATAGCAATTGCTTAGCACCAGCAACCAATAACCTAAACTGAAACCAATCATTTTTAGCATTATGGGAAAGGTGCTACCCCACCTCTTGCCCTATGGTAGCAGGGATAGGCTCCTTACCCTGAGATGGATGGATGGATGGATGGATGGATGGGAAAGGTGCTTTTTTGCAGAGTCAAATAAGAAGATGAATACCACTATTTCTGGATTTAATACATGAACCTGAAGGTGTTAATTGGCCTCACTCAACATAAAGAATGATAAAGAAGGACACCTATCATGGATCTATCCTCCTATCCTTAATTAATATGTACACACAAAAAAACGGTGATGGACTCTTTTTCTTCATCAAGGTCACATTCACAGTAAAGCGACTTATTCTCAGTGGCAATACATACATTTGTGGAAAGTTTCGGAGGCCTATGATTTGTTCCTTCTTTTTAAATAAGTGTGCTCATATTCACACGCAAGTATTTTCCTTTGCTTAACCAGTTCTGGGATATGGCGGTGGGGGGTGGAGCCTATCCCAGCTGTCATAGGGCAAACAGCAGGGTACACACTGGAGAGGCCACCAATCTGTCCGAGGGCTAAACCATAGAGACAGAAAATCGTTCACACCTACAGCTAGTTTAAAATAACCAATTAACCTAACCCCATGCATGTCTTTGGACTGTGCGAAGAAGACTGAGTGTCTGGAAATAGCTCATGAAAATACAAATGTCACACAAAACACCCCAGGTGGAATTTGCACCCAGAACCTTCGCACTGAGGAGACAGGGCTAACCACTGCACTATCATGCCACCCACACAATTATTTGAAATAATAAGATGACTTAACAAATCCAAAATTAGATTTAATATTGTTGTTTAAATTTAAGAGACGGACATCAGAGAGGTAAGGGAGCTTTACTTATTCCTTTAAGACAGATTTTTACTGTCTCACAAAAGAAACGGAGACTTACGGCAGTCGGTTTCATCTGAGTTATCCTCACAGTCATTGTCTCCGTCGCAGCGCCAAAGTTTGAGTGCACAGCGACCATTTTTACACTTGAACTCGTTGGGTTCACAGGGAGATGGAGTACCTGCAAAAAAGGCAAGAGGCTGATTAGGGATCATGTTGCTCTCTGGGACTGTTCGCATGTACAGGGCTGCGTTACTCACCACATCTAAACTCGTCGCTTCCATCTGGGCAGTCCCGCTGACCGTCACAGATATAGTCACGAGGTATACACTCTCCAGTCTGACATGTAGCCTGATCCACTCTGCAGGGTCCAGGTTGGCCGGGGGGACGCACTACCTTCTGGGTTGTATCGACTGTGGTGGCAGGGGTTGTGATGATCGGAATAATCGGCCCTATTGAGTATGACACAACTCTTTCATTAGGCCTATGCAAAGATGTACACAGGTGCTAATTACTGTCCCACACATCAAACAGCCATTACTCCAGCATATAACTGATCATGTTAAACTGCCAACCAGTCACAATGAGGCCACTCACCACAATTGAGCTCATCACTCATGTCTCTGCAGTCTTGTCGGTTGTCACACAGGTATTCCATTAGGATACATGTCCCATCACCACACCTGTGCTCATCTGGCATGCAGGGTCTCACACTGGGGGTTACTGTTAGAGATGCAGAGGGGAAGCAGGGGGAGGGGGATGTTGAAGGATCAAAGACATGCAAGCGTTGACTATGGTACAGCCAAAAAACTACCTAACGTCATATTAAAACACAATTAACATTTTTTTTTTTAAATATTTCATTTAATTTTTTTTTAAAAACTTCTCCTGGAACTCTACTGCAGAAAGAACAACTCAGAAGTGTTGAAAATATTACCAAAATCTGAAAGCTTGTGATAATTAGGGAGCTTTTCAAGAACATTACAAGATTTTCATTAGTGTTTGTGTTCTGGTAACCATAAAATATACCATAGGTTCAAACCAACATGGCAGCTATACAATAACACATTAGACAGATTACATTAGGCGGGCAAGACAACACTGGACAGACTAGACTGAAGAACACAAAAAAAAGAGATTGACACAAACTAAATGACAAAGAGTAGATTAGACATGGCTAGATGGATACAAAAAAATAGAACAGACATATTTGATACACAATAAGAAATAAATACAAGACTGGACAAGAAAGGCTTAATAACGCACAAATAAAGACTGGATTGAACAAACACTACACTACAGTGAACACAGGCTACAAATACTTTGTAAGAATAGATTCGACACACAGACACACAAAGACAGCAAAACGAGACAGACAGATGAATGACAATGCTGTCACCTGAATAAACAAATAAAAGATAAAGTCACCATTTAACTCTATTAGTTGCCATGTCTGTATAGAGAGTTTTGTGGAATTGATGGCAAAAAAATTTAAAAAGCTGCATTCCTAATCACACTCATGCCATGCAAATATACTTTATACTCATTGGGCACTACTGGACTTCAAAGACTAAACTCAGAAGTAGACTCAAAGTCTGCTTCACACTTCTGTGCTTCCATGCAAAACATTCCTCAGACAACGGGACTTGTACACATCAAATTAAAGACACAAATGCTCAACTGTTCTTTCTAAATGCACTACAGTTTCTAACTCACCATGCAACAGGCATGGCAAAATACAAACCTGGGTCTGCTACATGCTCCGCTGAAGGCAAAGGTTCAGCTATAAACCAGAGGGAAATGTTAAGGTAACTGCCTACCCCGCTGGTAAATCTTCATCTGCTGTAAGTATACAGCAAACTCTTGGGTAACAGTGGCACCTGTTTCAGTACTTCTTGAGGTCTTACCTACTCCAAGCCGTCTGAACTGAAAGCCCTGGACCGAAGTGCTGTAGGAAGCAATTGCTCCCTCCTTCACCACGTTGTACAGCACGCTGCGGATCTGTTCCTCATTGGCGTTGTATTCAGATCCCACATCTATTTCCACAAATACATCAACGCCATCCTCTCTTATCTCCTTTCTGCAAAGACCAAAAGAAGGCCAGCTGAGCCTACAGACTGTGTGGCATGCACCGCATATGTTAAACAATAAAGCTTGTTAAAAGCGTCCTCTTTGGCTGTCCTAGAAAGGACTTACTTATTGCTCCTGTATTACTGACTGAATGTCTACAATGCTGCTGGCCTACTGGCCTTGGGTAATACGGAAAAACAAGAAGAAATATCACCTGGCAAGGTAAAAAAATATCCAAACAACAAAATAAAGCTACTTTAAGTGTCACAAATAAATATTTAAATAATATTGTGTATGTTCTTACTTAACAAGGATCACACTGACTGTCTGGACACCTGGAATCTTGTTGTACTCTGACTCGAGCTGTGGAGGAAAAATAAATTTTTAGACACACAGTCACACATTCTTAAATTAGCAAAGTCATAAATAAAATGTCTTTCACCATATAAGGCAGTAACAGTCTTATGATACTGTACAAGAGCGCTATTTAGCACAGTTTATGAGAACAGGACATACCGTGTCCACCACTGCTTCAGAAAGCTCGATAAATTCACGAGAGAAGATTTCTTCGTATTCGGGACCGTAGACCAGGGAGGTGAAGTTGACAGAAGCTCTGTAATAAACTAGAAACACAAAGTGGGGAGAATTATCTGTTAGTTAAACTGCACATTAATATCCAACTATTGTCAGGTGTGCATGTTATAAGCTGCATTCAAGTCACTGTAGTCACGGTCACTGTGATGTGGGATACTGTTTGGAACTTCCTTTCCTCAGGAAAACCTCTGGTTAAATGTTTCAGGAGGTAAAAACTGAAAAGCACGACTGCGGCTTAAGTGAAAGCCACATACAAATTACAGCATCTATTTCTATATCTCAACTGTGACTGTGTCTGTGGCCAACAACCGACACACACTGACACAGTCACACTCCTCCACATACTGAAAAATAACCATTAAATTGTACTATCAACTATTCTGTGGGTCACAGACATGGAACATAAATAATCTAACATTTTTAAGCATATTTAAATAGAGACACATGATAGAAATGAGTTACAAATACACATAATACTCGTGACATTCAATATAACAGGGCCAAAAGTTTGCTTCAGATCTCCTGACTGAATGCTGATGATATCACAGACTTGGAAGGTCAGTAGGAGTAAAGTCACCATCAATACTGTGCCAGCAGCTGTGGAGGAAGAAGAAGAGGATCCTCTGTGAATGACTCTAGAAGAAGGCCTCAACATTCCCTCCTCAAGTCATACATGCATGAGGCAGGAAGGCTGGAGAGCAGTGTAAGGGGTCAGAGGATTACATCAATGGCCTACTTAGACTCCTTGTTCATGTAGTTCAGCAGCTAAAAACAGAACACTTTGCATTCAAATGTGTGGCAAACAGAAGCTGCAGTTAAATCGAGTTTTTATGCAACACAAGCAAGTAGACATTTATTTAAATGAGGTTTTACAGGGTTGAGAACATAACAGACATTCCGGTGGTGATACCGTGCAAGGACTTTAGGGGTTTTCACATAGCTTAAGAAAGCTTCATGTTAAAAGGTGAGAGCATGCAGACTGAGATCCTGCAAACCATGTGCAATGTTTTCAGAAAATGATTCACAGTATATTCATATATTTTACAACAATAGCTTGTGATGATTACAGGAGAAACAAAAACAATAATGGCATCCGGATAGATAACAACAAAATTCTGTAGAAGCATCCAGCAAAGCAATTGTTCTTCACTTGTGGTAGATTATAGGAGCCACACTGTAAAATAATAGCTTCTGCCAGTACTTCACTGTAATTTAACGGGGAAATTAGCTGCATTAAAGGCTTTTGAAACATTCTCAAATTGTTGATATACCCTCTTGTACAAAACAACTATAATGTGCGACTCGTTTTGAGGGAAATATTCGCTATAATATTATGATTACAATGTCACAGGCTTAGCCATGAAACTTAAAATAGCCTGCGCCTGCGGGGTGCCCCATTCTCACACTCCTGCCAACACTTTGTTAGGATGGGCTTGCCAACCTCTGATTTTAGGCTGGTAGTGTGGATTTAGGGAGGAAGTCAATATTTGTACTGTTTCTTGCAGTGAGATGCTATTTGCCGTGCCAAAAGCAAAGAGTCATGTTCTAAGTAGGCATCTGCTCAGCCTCTAGTTAGAAACATACATGCCCAAATATGCATAAAACAATAAATCTGCTCACATACACACCTACTGTGTGCAGCCGCTATACCCAGTCTTGGTGTATATAATTTTCTTCACCCTTTCCTTGTTCTTTGGATAATTGCACATCACTAGACATTCACACTGGCAGCAGATGTACATCATGCTTAACAGCAGCTACCTAATTAAAAGTTATAGATTTCGTGTCTCACATAAAGGCTGTGCAGTCACTGTGTTTAAGAGCTTTCCTCACTTTATGCCGCTAAGTCCCATTTTCCTTCTACACATCGGTGTTACAACAAGACGTCCAACTCCTGGCGAGAAAAGCACCTTTTATGTCAAAGTAAACTGAGCATTGCCTAAGAAAACAGTAAGGGGAACAAGTAAGAACAGCACTGCAGGCTTTAGCACAACCTGGTGTGCTCGCTTTTCAGACTGCTACTATTAGATTTATAGGACCAATTGTTAGGCCTGAATATGGTCTCAGAAAACAAGCAACATCAAAGTTGCTCATCAAAGCGCCTCTTTTGACCCATATATAATCTAATCACTTGAGTGGGTACTTGCTGCCAGGTCAACAGTGGCTTGAAGCCCCATTTCTCTCCGAGCTTGCCGCAAAAAACAGAATAATGGGACTGCCTGAGATCCTTTGATTAGAGCACCGAGTTGTGCCATACTGCTAACGAGGGCCTCTTTCACTCCAAGAGCTCCTGTGGGCAACTTGCTGCTTTCAGCAAGGGGGAAATCCCCTTTGCCAAGCGCCACCACCATCAAAGGTGATGAAACTGTGAGAACAGATGTGACGAGTGGGAGAGAGAAAAAAAGTGTGGAAAAGTAACATTCCATACTTTTAATTCATAAACTTATTTGGCGATTAAAGCTGTTCAGTAGAACTGTGGCAGCTTTGTGCAATGGGCCCCTCTAACACTCAGAGGGCTACGCAGAAGACAAAGAGTTGATTGAGCAATGAGCCCAGCCTGGCCTTTAAACCCCAGCCACGCTGGGTTTGACCTTCAACCCCCGAGGCTGCGCCCAGCACCAGTCAAGCCATTTCCAAAACATGTGGGGGAGAGCCAGATTCTATAAGAACAAGGCCCAAACCACAATGCTCTAATAACGCCAACAAAGATCTTTAGTAACTCCCCTACATGGGATTTTGCTCTCTCTCATCTCAATCTCCTCCCTAGTTTTTCTGCCTATATTTCCATTTGCCAGCTGTCTCTTTCTCATCTTAACTCCCGTAGACACGACCGCTCCTACTTAACCCCTTCGCTGGTAACAAGCCAAAACCTCTGTTTCCAAGTCCATTTATTGCCCTGTGGGGAAATCTAGGGACTTAATTCTGGCTTCATTATTAAGCTCTCCCCATCCTGCTCATCCACAGCTTGCAATGTAGAGATCAAAACCACCACTATATATAAAAAAGGCTCATTTTCATACTTGTGTTATAGCTACTTAGTATAAGACCTGGTTTGTTGCATTGGAGTTGAACCACCAACATGAGGCTGATATTTCAAAGAGCAATTTTAAAATGAAAGCATGGAGTACATTTTGCAAGTGTCATGGTAACGTCATTTCAAAGACATTTTTAGCAAGAAATGGAAATGTTGTCACTCTGTTACATGATGGAAAAAGCACATAATTTTCCATAGCATCGGAAATCATTGGGAAACGCCTGTAAGACATTTGGAAAAACAAACCAGCTGGACTCAGACACTACATGCCCCAGCTGAGTCTTCCTTGGAATGTTATCTGAGAGTGTGTTTGGAAAAGACCGTGCATAACTGAATGGAACAGGTGAAAGCAGAGTGTGCCAAAGACAAGAAACAAGAGAAAAACAAAGTGTTAAGAAAGAGGTGCGTCAGGACTTACTTTGGTCGTGCTCACTTGGGTTCTGTATGTTCCTCAGATATGAAGAATCCAACCAATGTGCTATAGCAAGAAATGAAGTGCAAGCAGCAGAGAGCAAGCAATAGTGGGAAAAGACGTGACGGGGAGGTCAACACGGCACAAACATGAGCCAGAGGTCAAAGGTCAACCAAGGAAAGCAACACAAGAACAAGGGAAACAAATGAAGTTAGCCAGGCAGGTGCAGAGAGGTTAAAGTTTCAGGAAAGTTAGACAGGGAAACAAATGCAGGGAGAGAGAAAACAGAGAGAGATAATAAGTAGGAGAATTGAAAAGAGAAAAAGTTGTAGTAACAGAAACAGGAAATCAAGAAGAGCCACTACGATTATGTGAAACAGACATATTACAGTGGTAGCAGAACAAAAAATCAAAAAAATCCCAACATAGTTTCATGAGAAGCTGGAAATGTCACCATCGATTTGCTGTGATCAACAGTCCCACTAATCATTACCATCTAAATGTTGTGGATACTGCTTCATGGGACAGAGGCTGCAGGAGGCGTGTGGTTTTATTAACCAGTGTCTGCCAGGAAACACATAAGGAAATCTCTTTACATGACAGTGACGAGGAGAAAAGGTGAGGGGCCATAACTTTAGACAAACCTCTTCCTCAGTCTTTCAACACAAAGAGAATACTTTACAAACAAAGCGCACACTTCCACATCCTGCTCTTCACATCTCAGCTGTCTGACACATACATCCACCCTGGCACTGCAGTAATGCAGGGAGGAGCTGTTTCCTGTTTTCCTTTTTAAATGGAAGAACTGAGCACCATTAAAAGAGTTTTAACTGGTTTTACCCTAAGTTCTCTCCACTGGCATGGGCAACAATGACCACGTTCTTTTTCGTGGTGACTCATTCATTCTGCTTGGGGCGTGCTATGAAATGTCAAGTGAGGAGGCCTTTTGGTTGTTTCAAGAAAGAGATCCAAGTACAAAGGTTGATTTACAAACCATTTACAGGATCTATTCACTATCTTGTAAACAAAAGCACCCTTAAAATGTATTAAAATGCTCCACACAAGCACTTTATACTAACAAGAGAGATTTTTTATGCTCCTCTCCAGATAAATATGAGTCCACTCCATAAACTTCAACAAACAGTAGTAAACAAGATCTCCTTCATAATTGAGTGAGTATACTGGATCCAGCTGTTGTACAGCTGCACATGCAAAAACCATGAGGGTTCTGACACACGTTACTGCAGTTGTGGCATATATTTTAGAAGAAGGCAGAGTTTACAAAAAGAAAAAAACTGTGTTAAGAGTTAAGAGCATTTCTTCAAGTCTAAAATGCCCAGCCAGGAAACAATTGAGAGAAAACATGCCCTACCCAAATGACATGAGGTTTCCCACAAGAATAGTGACCCAAACTAATTAAGGCTAATGAAGCATTTGCTACTTCAAAGTCTGCTGATCTGCTGTGATCACTGTCAGAAACAGAAAAAGAGTGGAAGCCAGAGAGGAGGAGGTAACAGATTTGTTAATACTCTCTGCTCTGTTGTGGGTTGATCGGGCTGAGGTCACTTACTGAGACAGTGCTCACTGTGTAAGAGGCTGGATAGAGAGATATTTGAAAATACAACAAACTAAATGGATCTTTTACCCAACAGGAGAAACATAAAGTAAGTATATTGCTCAAAATACAGTAATTAAGACAACACTCAATCTTCATAGTATAACTTGAAGTCGGTTACACTTCAGGGACATCAATGTGTCCAGTTACGAAGCATAAACAATTGTGAATCCATTTCACTCGCTCTGAGGCAAATGAATGTGACAACAGGTGCAATGGAGAGGAAACAACAAGACAACTACATCCATTTTCTTCCGCTTATCCAATTCAGGGTCATGGGCAAGGCAATCCCTAAAAAGGGAATGGTTTTGTACGTGGTGGCCACAGACCATTGCTCTCTCCTTATCCGTCTAGACTGATTTTTGTATACTTTATCCTTTTGTTAGTGTCCTTAACACCACTGAGACACAGTCTTAAGAGTGTGGAGGAGATGCTTGAAGATGGATACACAAAGTGCAATGGACAGGGGCATAGAATGGCATCAATGCAGCAGATGGACAGTATCGGCTTCTTTGGGTCAGGGGCAGCAGGAGCACCGTCAGGACCCTAGAAAATGACCTTAAGCAAGCTACTGATCTGCATGTTTCTGACCAAACTGCTCATGGAGAGAATCAGAACCAGCACCACAAAGCTTGACTGACGATCGGGACCCTAACCCTAACAGAAGAATGGTAGGTCTTCCACTGTGACTCTGTTCATTTCAAAGATGAGAACAGGTTCACACTGAGCACATGTGACAGGTAAAAAAAGAGTCTGGGGATATCAGCAACATCATCTTGCATGACTGGTTTGGCAGTGGGTCAGTAATGGTCTGGCAAGGAATATCCTTGGAGGGTCAAACTTCTGCTAGGTACAAGAATGAAATCCTCAGAATCATTGTCAGAATTTCTGGGCCCCATGCTCCTCCTGGCACAGCGTCATGTGACCAGAGTGTGCAGGCAATGCCTGGATCAAGCAAATATTTTTGAATCCAAATGAGAACCTCTGGGGCATTGTGTAAATAGTGCCACAGACTGTCCAGCAGCTCACTGATGCCCCAGGCAGGCACATGGGGTAATACACTCAGTAGAGTGTGTCTCATGTCAAGCTGCATTATCTTGTGGTTTAAAATTTTAACTTTGATTGAATCCAGCCAGAATACATTATTTTGGCCTCCACTGACTTTTGTTACACCAGTTTATGTGATTTCCCTCTGTTTTGGGGGGCCAGTGGATGTATATGAATTGTCAGCAACAGAAGAAGAACTAGTTAAGAACTTAATTAGTCCCGGGAGTGGTATTATTTAATATAGATACTCTCTAGGGTGCAACCAGGAAGCCACTAATCAACTGTGGAGCTTTATCCAAATGAACTCATATCTGGGAAAACCACAGGACAATTGAATACCCAGCCAATAACCACTTTAATTCAGTATTTGGTCTGCAGCACAATTAAACATTTTGCTAGCACAAGTGTAAGTTACTCACTTATGACGTATCGTAGCTTATTTTTAAGCTCATCAAAATGCACAGAGATATAAAGTACAAGTCCTTCCTGGAGAGAGGAAAAAGAAAATCACTCCAGCAGGCAGATAAGCTCTCTTTGAACGAAACCCTAAAAATCTCTTTCCTAAAGAGGAGTGGCACAAGCCAGCTCTCCAAGGCAACTCATTTGTTATTGGTACAACAGAGTGTAGGATCACAGGGCTAGGTGCAGTAATAGAGCTCAAGTTAGTGACTAAGATCATTCAGCAGGAGTCTTTCAGAACTATGCCCACCCAAAATGAATTGCACACAGTCAGAGTGACAATCTGCTGCTTATGAATGGATAGAAGCTTTTGTCACTGATTGAGACGAGTAGGTAAGACAAAGGTTAGTCCAAACGTGTCGTTTAAAACTGCAGCACCAACGTTCGTTTGCTCCTACAACTGTCCTGTCCACAACATTCTGTTTCAAGTGCGTGACCTCCTTGTAGGGCTCCAGCAGTACAACAACAAAGATCTCAGCAAAATAACTGCAGCTGCCAGCGTTTGTCCCTCTGTGTAAGTGCCCAAGAGGCTCCGTGTATCTGACACACTCTTGCAAACACACACACAGGCAGTGCCACTGAGACACACATACCAGCTGACCATGAAAAAGCATGAAACTGAGTGGGTGGCCTGGCACTGCTCAGGCCAAACTGACAAGACAAGCTACATTACCCTGATGTATTGTCCACTAATGGTGCAACATCTGCTCAATTTGACAGATAACGGAGGAATCCAAACCTATGTCGTGTTTTTTTCAGTAAGCGCTCACTAGTAAATGATTAGAAGCAAAGCCAGGTGAGGCTACACAGGAATGCAGTACCCTGTCTGTGAGTCTCCCTCTACTCACATCAGTGTCAACAGTATACACACACACACATGCACACACACACAAATCACAGCATGTAGATCGAACGCCAATGACAGGTGAGTCCTTGTCTAGCTTATTTAAACAATGGATGAGAGAGCTAGTTTAGACAGCAGCATTAGATATTGATGTATAGCAATCTCAGCACGACAATAGCTAGAAGCCATCTGAGTTTCTCAGGGCTGAGATGCTGTTTATCATGTTTACACTGACATATCTTTTCACCACTTGCACTAACAAAACACAAAGAAAAAGAATGACAGCTAGTAGGATTGTTGACAGAGTGACTTTGACATGTATTGCTTATCTCTTCTATTTTTAATATGTTGTTGTCTTTTCCTTTTTTTTTTCTTTTTTTTGCACAGCAAAAGATAAAAAAAAATATTATATAATTTCTGAGTACATCTCAAGACTTCTTTAAAAGGAGGCTACTTGGACAAATACAATACACTATAATACTGACATGTTCCTGAACCATTGCAATGAGAAATGTACTTAATGGGACATATTACGGTTGAAGTTGGTCTACTATGGGACTGCACTGGGACCTACACCAAATGCCTTCCACTTGCATCTGTGGAAAGCACAAGGTGGAAAGAGCGCACCTCCCTTCCTTTTCATGCGCATACATGGAAAGTTGTGGAGGTGTGGAGAATAAGACTGCAGCATAGTACAAAACAGGAACAAGAGACAACAGACACTGATAAAGTTTTTTAAAAAAGGAGCTGAGGTGGAGGGGGGTTGTAGCTGGACTTCTCTGAGAAGTCAGAAATTAATCAAGCATAATATTCAACTACTAAAAACAAATATTATTTGTTATTCTGCATTTTAATCAAAAACTAATAGTCCATCCTTGCATTCTCTTCCACTTATCCTTATCAGGGTCGTGGGGGAGGGATGGAGCCTATCCCAGCTTTTATAGGGCGAGAGGCAGGGTGCACCCTGGACAGGTTGCCAGTGTGCTGCCAGTGTGCTACAAAGAGAGGCCGACCATTTGTGCTCATATTCACACATATGGGAAATTTAGTAGAATTACCAATAAACTCAACCCCACTAACTGCATGTCTTTGGACCGTGGGAGGAAGTCAGAGTACCTGGCCCACAGAGACATAAGAGAACATGCAAACTCCACACAGGTGGAGTGGAACTCAGGCAACAGTGATAACCTCCGAGGTGCTCCAAACAATGTGCTTTACTATTTTTTCTTGGATAACAACAACTTACATACATATTTACAACAACATAGTGAATTAACCACTAGAAAATAATGAAAATATATTTTGCTGATTACTAGTACTGTTAAGCTGGGGCATAAACCTTATTTTTAGTAATGGTTAATTACCTTTATTTATTTATATAGAAAAAGAAGTGGTCTGCCATGTTTTTTCACCCTGGTATAAGTATATTTAAAAATAATAATTCTCAAGCTTTTTACCCAAAATAAACACTGTGCAGAGCGTAACCCCAGCGGCCTTTCGCCAATTACTACACTATTACAAGCGAGTGGCCTGGTAACCTTTGTTTCCTTATGTCCTAAACAAAGTGGCCAATATCCTTAGAACACTGGGAATGTCTGTAATGGAGCCAGTGAAACAAGGAAAGGCTCTCACAGAGCAGATAAGCTGGATTTACCTCCTCAGAGTCCCAAAGAAATCTCTTTGGGACTCTGAGTTTAGAGGTCACGATGAAAGGTTAGGAGGACATGGGACACAGTTTCCATATCTCTGGAAAAGATTGCAGACTATGATTAAGAGGGAGACAAAGAGCAACAATACACAGAAGACGGTTCACAATAGCTCTTATTTAAGAGCAGTTTCAATTCCAGATGTTTTGCAGGGATTCATTTTACATGTCTGAGACAAAGGGAATTGGAAATTCCTTAACCACCATCAGCAAACAGTCACACAACAGGATACAAAGCATAATGGGGGCATCTGTACCACCAGCGTCTCGCCATTTACAGAAGTGGAGGGGGAAGGAAGGCACAGGCTTGGGTGAATTGTCTGGACAGCCAACAGGACAGAGACACTCAGCAAAGTATTCAGGATTCAGCACAGGAAACAGAATTTCCTTCCCAAGGCAGATTTACTCAGATCTATATATGGCGCTAGTCTGACTACACTAATCTTACCACCATGGTCATACTGGGGAGAATGCAAATGTGTCCAGGCACCTTTGAGATAAGGCAATATAATTAAGAAAGCACCAAATAATCTCAACTTTCTTTTCAACAGCTACATTAAAAGAAAATTGACCTCTATGTGAAAACAAAAGCAAGGAAGTTTATGGAACCAGAGTACTTGGGACTGTTCTTGACTCATTCACGCTCAAAATGTTAACACACACAAATGGAAATATATTTTCTCATCCTGTACTGTGAACAGAACACTGATTTGCTTTGTCTTTTATGACTTTTAGATATTTTTTCTCACACAAATCTTTCTGCCATTCTCATTATAAGAGCAGCTCAGTGTGCTGCAGAAGGCTGGAGTACAACTTAGGCTGAAACAAGCGGCAAACTGTGTTTATGGGGTAAAAATGCATTCCCTTTAACTATGTCTCAATCAGTCAACACTAAACAAATACTGAAGGTTGAGTCAAAAAGTGATTCAACAGTCAGTTAAGCGTTGCTAGACTAATCTGCTGCTATCACATGATGTCAACACCACACACATTAATGCTAGCCGTGTCAAAATATCCTCTGGCACCTTTAACTGGCCTAGATTCTGTGAGGCCAGGCAGAATTGCTATTTCTGTGAGTGAACCACATGATGCTCTTATGCTAGCTTGCTACCAAAACAATTATTGTGCCCTGATGTAATTAGCTCCACGAATTGTTGCAAAACATAATGTGTCAGAGTCTTTTGGACATGACCTTTTAGTTCACTGGCTCTTCATATGGAATCTACTTTTGAATCTATAGTATTACTGAATACAATTTAATGTTCTTTTCATAAATTCTGGTCCTCATTACAGTCAAACAGGATGATAAGTTATGGTATGCTTTAGGGCCACAGCCATACTACTAACCCAGATCAAAATGGCTGAAGTTATGGCAGCAAATTTCTATCTTTTACATATAGTGTATGTAGATCTAAAGACTTCAGCTAATTGAGTGTCATGTGAGAACTAAAATTAAAAGAACTTTAACCTATTAGCTCCCTTGTACCTGTGATTTCCGATTGCATGCAATTTCCTAGTGGATTCAGGGAGTGTCATGTTTGCACATGCAGACAAGCAGTCAGCAGTCATTACTAAACGAGAGTACTTACTAATCTAAAGTGAGAAATGGCAACTTTGGGCAATGCTTGGACCTAACTCATTGCTGTCACAAAATAGAGTGTTAACACTATAATTATGGGAAATAAAATTAAAGCACATATAGGATGCCATCGATCAGTGAAGTTTCATGGTGAACTATAAATCAAAACCTGAGCAATGGATATCTACGATGCGATTCCAGTTATCCTTTGACGTCGAGCATTAATTTAGCTACAACATCACAGCTCAGCAGTTAAATATAGTATGCTACTAGGTAATACTCTTAAGGCATCCTTTGTGGCTAACCCTGAGTAGCATGCACACATGTTCAGTGAAAAGGTCAGGTAACAGTAATTCTTACTTATTTTGCTGTCTGCAATGAAAAGCAACCCATGGATTGTAAAAACTATAAAACACGGACCAAGAACAGCGGCACACGTAAACTTTAGGTATGATTAAAGAGTCAGACCATCATGCAAAGTTTATTATGGTTCCTGCATTATTATTTTCTGAAACTATGTGCGGTGATATAGTGTGTTCCTTGAACAGAATACAAGTCTGAATAAAAATAATGGGGTAGAGGTGCTTTCCCGCAGTTTTTATTGTTCATTGGGCGTTTATTTATCTTATTGTGCTGTCACCTTCGCCAATGGTTAAAAGGATGAAAGAGGAGATGTTTATGTCTCACAGATAAAGCCAAGGCCCTGTGTTATGACCAGAGTCTGGCAAGCTGGCGAAGAGGGAGGAGAGGATGTAGCAGGATGTGGAGGTATCATCACTCAGGCACCGACAGACATTATGCACAAGTGTGCATGCACAAATGCACGCAATGACACACGCGCGTGCACACGGTGCTACTGGTGCACGTCAGAGTTGCAGATGGGGGAGCTTTAGAGGGCTGAGTGATCCACTGCATGTAAACAAAATCTGTCAGAGTGGATTGTTAGATCCACAAGATTGTCTCTTCACTTACTTGTGCTATCAGGCCACGGTGTGCTTCCATATTCCTCTCCACTGGGCTGGTCTTTGGAATGAGAGAAACAGAAGTATAGGTCAATGTGCCAATTTGAGGTGAAGAAAACATGCTTTATTCAATTATATTTAAAGTAGTGCACCAAATCTCCTGGAGATCTATATTCCCCTTAAACAGTCGGAATCTCGCAAGTCACTATAAGACGAATCTCTGAACAAATATTTACCGATTTTCTGTTTTGGCGTGGGTTAACAATCTTAAGAATTTATATTGAAAGCATAAGTGGTGTGAATTAAGAGCAGCTGTTGTTTTGTGGTTATTCAGCTTTTACCAAACCCACCTCCTGACGCTTCATCAGCTGCAAAGTCCTCATCATCATCCAGTAAACTCTGAGATCCCTGGACAGTTTTTTCTGCCTCCAAATCTTCTGGCAGAGGAACCTCTCCCCATACCTTGGAGGCCTGTGTCACCTGCAGTAAACACAGAGTGATTAATAAGGGTTAAAGTCTCTTGGGAAAAGGGTTACACCCAGTGCTATACATGAGCTCTGGAATTGTGCAGAGAAAACAAAAGCTGGAATGGGAAATGGGGCATTGTGATCTGTTTACTTTAATCTTTTATTATCTCTTTTAACAGCATGCAAATAAAAGTTCACGACATCTAAGTTCTATTTTTTTCAGTCCACTCGCTTAAATTCAAAACATGGCGTTTATGTTTTTTCCTCATGTAAATGTTAATGCGACGAAATTCACAGCTGACTCCAAATCCAATGACAAGCACAGGAATACCTGCGTAAGTACACAGGCACACACACAAATAAAACGTACTTCCGAAAGCCAGAAAAAACAGCTGAAGTTCAGATCAGAATGACACTAATCTGTTAAAGTATCCTTTACACTCTGTTCTCCAGGCTAAAAATATATGCCACATACCACAACTAGTCCTTCAAAACTGACTCTGTACCCTGGAATCAGGAAATAGTCAATCAATAAACCATCATGTGCCCTCCAGCACCTCTAACCAAAACCTTTCTTTTTGATAAAGTGTTTGGTAAGGGCTGGATCAGGTGACCCTGAATCCTTCCTTAGTTATTCTGCGATAGGTCTAAGCTGCTGAGGGCTTCCCATGATGCACATGAGTACTTTTTCTTTGCCATCTCCCGGTCGCAGCAGATGGCCACATCTCCCTGAGCTTGATTACGCCGGAGGTTTGTTCCTGTTAAATGGGAGTTTTTCCTTTCAACTGTTGCCAAAGTGCTTGCTTTTATTGTAGGCTCTTTACCTTACAATGTAAGGTGCCTTGAGGCAACTATTGTTGTGATTTGGCTATATAAATAAAATGGAATTGAATTGAAACATCAAAAAGTCATAAAATGTCAGCTCAAAAAGGAAAAGTGGCTTTTTATCCTGTTTACCACAATTTGCCATGTTAGTGAGGTATGTTAGGATAAATGTATTGCTTCACACTGTGCCTGTTCTCCTGCTGTATTGCTCATAATCTAAAGATTTATTAAATATGGAACTTGATAAAGTGTTAGTACATTCACCTCAAGGGAGATTTGAATACCCAGTCCACATCAGAATAATTCCACGTGACCTTTTCCTCAATTATTAAACTACAGACTACCAGCCTCAGGAAGTGCAAATTCTTTTGCAATATTCTCTTTATTGCATGACAACACATAGAAAATCAAATAAGCATGTAGCCAGAATAACGTCCTCCTGCAGGACACGTGACAGACACATCAGACACCTCACTGAGAAGACACAAAGCTTTTCCAGCCATTCCCATATCCTGATCATCTTGATAAAGTTTACTATGGCGGCCTGACTGGAGCACAGTGTGGGTTTATTATCTCTGCTCTCAGCATGCAGACTGCCCAGACGCTGGCTATAAGTTTAGATACGACTCTGGCAGGATGCCACCTCTGGCATTTCCAGTAGGCATGGCACGCCAGTTCCTATTTCCACCCAACTCTGTCATGGTAGTTTTCCCATTTGAATGGATCCAGCTAATAAATAACTAGATCTAACCCCCCTAAATCCTCTCTCCCCTGACTGAACACCCTTACAACAACAATCCCGGGCCATTTTCAAAAGCAAACTGCTGACTAACCAAATTCTTTTCAGAGATACCGACCAGCCAACCATTGGTGTGATCATCTCCCGCTTCCCACTCCCTTGGGATGGTGTATGATCTGGACATGCTGGATGCCATTTTGGGTGAAAAAAAAAAAAAAAAACCCTGAACAAACTTACAGATGGCTGCATATTCACACCTGATCTAAAGCTAACATGCTGAGCCACACTTGTTTGAGAATGTCAGCCGACCTCATCTTAGGCAGAGCTGAGAACTCCATGTGAATGCGCCCTCTCACTCCATTCTAGTTCAAAAGCTAATCTGACCTTTAGTCTGAGTCTTGAGGTTGAGACATGTCTGTGGTGTTAGAGTTATCTCTCCCTGGAGATAAAGCTCTTGACGGACTGTAATTCTTCAAACCCCACCCCACCCAGAGGACAAACACCTCAGAAGCTCTCCTGACTCTAGTACCTTGCTGTGTAAACACATTGCTCTATTAATTTGTTTCAATTTCCAATAAGACATGGTAATCAGGTTAGGCTTTAAAAAAAAAAAAAAGTAGGCGTCGACATAAACGCACAGGAAGTGGCCTAGATACACACAAAAACACACATGGACACCTTTCACATATAATATTTACTTATAAATTACTTAAAAATATGCAGCATTGACCTTACAAAACCAAATGGTAGTAGCAAAGGGAAATGATGGAATCCATGAATAATGAGTGGCAGGTGACATGGGACAATAAAGACCTTCAGCTGTTTAGCATGAACAACTGATGATGACGGCAATGAGTGAGAAGCAAAACCTTTTGAAAAACGATTGATCGCACTACACAAAAAGTGAGCCAAGAACCTTTCAAGACTGAAATACTGTCAGCTGTCGTTGAGTCTTGCAGCTGGAGGCCTGCTATCACCTCTGGTTCTCAACAAGTAATGCCTCCCCAATGCTAATATTTGCACTACAAGCCCTTTTATTCATCATTCAAGCATTTCATCACAATTTTTGGTTTTTTGCATTTTTTTTTTGCATTTTCATCATTCTGTGCTGATGAGTTTCACATTAACGTTCCCATATTAACCTCCTCGTCTGCCCTTTGATGAAAACTGATTGGCACTTAGTGGTATTGTGCTGCCTGCATGCCAAATTATAACAAGCGTGAAACTGTGGAAGGCAAAACAGCACTGCAAACTGATTCTAATGCAGATAAGTAAAAAACTCACAAACACTGGCATTTGGTACCACGTGCAAACAAACACGGTCAAATACGGCCTTGCATGAACAGACACACACTATCATACACCCACACGTCAGCATTCCCGTCCTGGTTACATCTCAGTGATATCCAAAGCCTGTCAGAGGAAGCGTGAGAAGATTTCTTCAGGGATTCAGTTCGCCCACTCTGTTAATAAACCCACTGATGCAGCTGCAGGACAATCTGTAGGAAATGTCTTAAAGGCACAGCCAGTGTTTTACAGTAAAAAAAAGAGAAAGAAATTGGATTTGCTCATGACAGACACGAGTCTCCCGCAAGTGATGCTCTCTCATTAAAATGTTTATTGATAGCAGCTGACACTGTTTGTTGATAGCAGCAGCACAGGTTTAGCATTTAAATCACCTCTTGAGCTCACACAACCTATCAGCCTTTGTTCCCATGAGAGCTTGGGATATGCAAAAACAGAGAAATGAAAGCTGGAAAAAAGGCAGCATTGCTCATTCCAATCAATTTGATCCAAACGCCAAGTTGTGACCTTTTATGCAAGCAGAAAACCTTCACAAGATGAATTCTCAGCCTACTTGACCCTCCATCTCCCTTTACCCACCACACCTTCTCTTCCTTTTACCCTCTCTAATATCTGCTTGGGCTTGAAGTAGCAGCATGTACTAAGCAGGAATGGAATGTAAACCGTAGAAAGCTTCAAGTAGATGAAAGCTTGACACATACTGACTTCTTTTAGATAGGGTAGGTTGAAAAAGGGCCAACCAAGCACAACCGGGCACCAATGCAGGCTGAGTCGTTGAACTCCCTTTAGTTGACCCATTGTTATCTGAGGAATAGGTGTTGTGAACAAGCAGGCCTACGCTAGATCAGGTCTACTACAGCAGGTAAAAATATGTTGTATGTGCATACAAAGAAAACAACATGAAAAAAGCTACTGAGAGAATAAAAGAAAATACATGATTCTCATGCTACAGTTAAAAAATATTAAGATGCTAAATCTACTCATCTCAAAACATAGATATGAGGGAGGTTTTACAACATGCTTGGCTGAGTGTTGTGAAAGAGTGATGAAAGGAAAAGAGGAAAAGAGATAAGCCCAAGAGCACTGTTCCTTTGCACACCTTTGACTACAAATCTGTGTTACTAGTGCAGGATTTTTATGTTTGTATGATACAAATTTCTACATTTAACCTGCGTAGGAGTGGTCTGTGATTTGACAAACTACCAGTTCCGACAGTAAACCTCTGCTTGAGCCCCTACTGGATAAAGCACTTGCACAATGTGGCCCTTCTGCACTCAGCAATACATTGGTATTTCTACATGGTTTAATCTAATGTGACTGGACAGGAAGGAAGTTTAAGGAGCCCTTTGACATTATTCACAGATTGGCTTTTTAAAGTGTTCAGTGACTAATGCTGTGGGTGGAACAAACACACCAGATTTCTTCAGAAGAGATGAATAGCAGTGAGAAGGAAGGGGCCCAGAATAGCATATGTCCACATTTCTGAACACTTTTTCGGAGTGTCTGCTTGACCATCTTCTGCTTCAGTTATATTCTGGTAGCTTGAATGAGTCATAGATTAGCATTAAGTGGCTAAATAAAAATCATCTGAAAATGGATTGGTACAAAGACTGGACTAAAAATGAAAATGAAAAAAAAGGAAAAACCTTCAGAAAACCTAGATAACTATTGCTCAAGACCAGTTAAGGCAGAGCTTCCCAAAGTGGGGGGGGGACGGACGACAAACGCTTGGACACTAGTTATGCTTTTTACATCCACTAGGGTCCGAGTGAGTAAATTTTAACAGTGATGTTAGCACAAGCAGCATAATATGTAAGAAAAATTATTAATCAGTTGCTTCTGCAGCAGTCTGTTGCTTTTATCTAATGTCCATCCCTTTATAGGAGGGCCAAACATTCCATGTGGCAAGCAACTATGGCCTCGGGCTAGCATTTGCCACACAGCCTCACACACACGCCTTTCCCTTTAAACCAACCCTCACTGTTTAGGGAGGCATGTCAGAATAAGCATCCAGCCTGTATAGACTTGTGTACATGGTGCAGCTAAACAGGATGAGAAAGGATATCTGCACTGTAGGCAACTGGAAAAGGTGATGAGCTTTTCCTTTGTTGTTCCCATGGAATTAAAATGGAGGAGTCATCACT